CTAAAAATAAATATAAATAAATAAACTGTTAAAGAGTTATATCTTCTGGGATATAACGCTGTGTAGTCTGTTGATTTTTTTTTTTAATTCGCATAGTGGGGGGTATAGTCGAACTGGGTCCACTTGGCACGGCGGCCACTGATTGGTCAATCGTAGCCTGCCCTGGGTGATTATGATGATGGAGAGTTTGGTGGAATGAAGATTGGCGGGGGAAACGGAAGTACTTGGAGAAAATCCTCCCTAGCGCCACTTTGTCCACCACAAGTCCCACTTGACCACACCTGGGATCGAACCTGGGCCGCCATGGTGGGAATCCAGTGACTAACTGCTTGAGCTATGGCGTGGCCTAATCTGTTGAAAGTCAACTGACGTTTCAAAGGAACTTGTCACTTCCATCTTCAGTGTCTAAGAAGAAACCAAGCAAGAAACCAGAGTGAAAGCAGGTTGACTTTTGACAGATCACATGTCTTATATCCCAGAAGATAGAACTGTCCATAACCATTGCTGTTATAAATATCAAATTCTACAGACTGTTAAATTGCATCAGTATTGTATACAATAATAGAATCATGTAGTTTCGTACTTTTCTAAGTTATATATTAGGCATCATGTGAACTCAGCTAAAAATTTAAGTGACATATTTAATAAGCACTTTTAATGAAGTTTCTTTGACAAGAAAATCTCCCCATTGTAAAGAGGAAGAAAGAGTTAACAACACATTTTTGGAAATAGAAGGATACTTTTATGGGTTGCACAGAGTTAACTGGTAGACCATACATGGTGTGTCCAGGATCCTTTAGGACTAATTTTTTTAAAATTTGCCCTGCAATGCCATCTGTTGACGAGTTGTGGTGTTAAGATTCTTGAAGTTTCAGCTGTGGCTGTCTATAATTTCAAAGCGCAAGCATCACTGCATCATGTGTTCTGACCTTGAATGTAACAGTACTGTTCTGACGCTTGTCGGAAAATGGCAGTCGAACAGAGAGCCAACATCAAATTTTGTTTGAAGTTAGGCAGAACAGCTGGAGAAGCATACAAAATGATGAAAAGTGGGTATGGTAGTGATTGAGTTGCTTGAACATTTTTCAATGGTATGCTGTATTTCTTGATGGCAGAGAGGACATTGAAGATGCTATACGTGCATCAAAGCCGAGAACAAGTTGCACTGAAGAAAATGTGAAAAAAGTGACTGAAATGCTTGCATCAGACAGGTGTGTTTCTGCAAGACTCATCGAGGAGCTTTTGGGAATACCAAAAAGTACTGTGCATCAAATTTTGACTGATGATTTGGGCAAACAGTAGGTCTGTGCGCGGTTTGTACCACATGCGCTGTCAGGCAATGAAAAACATGCCCCACCCCACAAATCGAAAATCGTGGGCGATTTTTTGGCCAGAAAAGGGATCACAGTCCTTGATCATCCTCCGTATTCATCAGATTTGGCTCCAGTAGATTATTGGTTGTTCCCAAAAGTTAAATTGGCTTTGAAAGGAGACCATCATGACACCATCCAGGACATCCAAAGGGAATGTACTGCAGTTTTAAATGTGATTCCACAAAAGGAGTACAGTAACTGTTTTCGAAAACTTTTCAACCGATTCCAGCTATGTATTGATTCAGAAGGAGACTATTTTGAATATAAAGAGTGAAATTTTGAAAATAATTCACGTCTTGTATTTTTAACAAACACAGTCCTAACAGAACCTGGACACACTGTGTATGTGTGGCTCACGTGCCATGAAGTAGAGATCTTTACTGTAGTATGTCATCTAATCTTCATTCTTATATCAAATAGTATTATAATATATCAACTGAATTATTACTGATACAGCAGTCATAAAATCAGGTATTGAAAGTCATTCCATCTTAAATTTTAAGCACCGTATATTCTTAAAGGAAAGACTGTCGAAGTGCAAGGGTCATTTAACATCCTCACTTTTAATCTAATCTAAAAGTTAAGACAGTTTTGTTATGATTGCTCTATTTTTTTATGTTATATTCTCATGGTGGTTCAGTACATTAATTTGCGTGGGTGAACATAAAAGTTATAGAATTATATACAGTTTTTCTTTGATGAAAGTGTTGTTATATCCAATACATCACAGCATTTGTGTATTTGGTATTAAAGTGGATCACAGAGTGCTTTATTGACATCAGATATTTTTGTTGCAAGTTCACTGAAATTGTTCTGGCAGTAGATTTTATTTTCCAAATTCATTTGTGATGTTCATAGCTGCAGTAATTTCCCATTTAAATTTTATCAGGCTACACGTTGCTTCATTATTACAGTACTGATTCTCCTTTTAGTTGCTACTAAGTTATGTGTCAGTGCTTACAAATTATCTTTGACTTTTGAACCGTAAGATAAGACTTCTATGCTATTTAACTTTTGACGAAAATAGTACTTCCCAAGCTGTAGCTTGAAGTTGCAGGCACAAACACACTGGTTCAAATGGCACACCGCTGTGTTCAGATTTGGCTGCTAGTGCTTAAGTAGCTGAAGATTTAAATCTGGACAGTAAAGAATAATTTTATGTCTTTAGTAATATTGTTACAATTTTAGTGAGTAGAGATGATGGCTGGATTTATTTCACTTTTTGAACTTTACAGTTCACTGTTACACACACATTAATGTCCACTGTCACGTCTTCACTGCCGTTGCATGGTAGTGGCTTCTAGTGGTGGACGTTCCCTTTTCTCTGGTTTCCTGAATAGTCCCCGGCCTCAGCTACACGCTTCTGACATCAACAGCTGACAAGGACTGAACTGCAGCAGTCCTTGAACTCACTCCCTGAAACAGAGTCAGAGTCAGAGTTACTTTATGACTGGTGGTTTACCACCAGTCAGTCAGTTTGTCTTGGCATCAAGCCCCTTGAGGCTCACTGCCAGAATTATTTTCTCTGCATCTGAACCCTTGCTGTAATAGCCCTTATGTAACATCATCTGACGAGAATAGCCCTTATGTAACATCATCTGACGAGAGGATGGGTTTGTCTCTTATGAATGGGCTTTACCTTTGTCAAGTGTACATATTGCACATACCGTATGTCCAAAAAGTATCCAACTTTATTTTTTTCCGCTGTAAGTAATGGCCAAAGGGGTGGGGAAACTGAGCGTAGTGGTAGAAGGGACTTTCATGCGCATGCGTGATTTTTTACTGACTCGCAACACTGCCGGATGCGTCTGTGGCTGCCAGATAGCGAAGTGGTGTAACACGTGTTCGTCGCATTCTCGTTTCGCTCAAGATGACAGAACGCTTGGAGCAGCGGTACTGCATTAAGTTTTGTCAGAAACTTGGGGATACCCAAGTGGAAACAATTCTCAAAATTCAGCAGGCTTTCGGCGATGATGCAATGGGGGTCACTCAAATTAAAGAGTGGTTCAGCTGCTTTAAACATGGCCGTATGTCGGACAGTGAGCAGCATTCGAGGAGACCGTCAATGCTGATGTCATTGAAAAAGTGCGGACACTGATCATGGAGGACTGTTGTTTGGCCATCTGTGAAGTTGCTGATGAGGTTGGGATCAGCAGAGGTTCAGCAAACACAATTTTAACTGAGGATTTGGGCATGCGAAGAGTGGCGGCAAAATTTGTGCCCAAGCTGCTTTCGCCGGAACAGCAACAACTCCACCTTGAGGTCGCGCAGGACGTGCTGGAGTGCGTCAACAGGGATCCTGAGTTCCTGAAGACTAATAACTGGTGATGAGTCGTGGGTGTACAGATATGACCCAGGAACCAAGGTCCAGGCATCACAATGGAAGCATCTGACATTCCCGAGGCCCAAAAGAGCACGACCGGTTCGGAGCAATGTGAAGGTGATACTGACTGTTTTTTTTTTTATTACCGGGGTGTTGTACATCATGAGTACGCGCCACTAGGCCAGACTGTCAATAAGGAGTACTACCAAGAAGTCCTCCGTCTTTGTGATGCAGTTCGGCACAAGAGACCAGAGCTGTGGGACGCACGCAACTGGCAGCTGCATCATGAGAACGCCCCAGCTCATTCATCACACCTGATCCAGGGTTTCCTGGCCAAGCACGGCATTCTGCAGGTTCGCCAGGCTCCCTGCTCTCCTGACATGGCTCCATGTGATATCTGGCTGTTCCCGAGATTGAAGACACCGCTAAAAGGCTGCCATTTTGACAGCTGCGAGGACATCATACAGAACACAACAGCGCAGCTGCATGCCATTCCAAAAGAAGCCTTCCAGAATTGCTTCCAGCAATGTTAGGACCGCTGGGCTAAGTGTGTGCAGTCACAAGGGGCCTACTTTGAAGGCGATTAGGTGTTGTAACCACACAGATACAGAACTTTTTTTTCCCGGCCCAAGGTCAGATACTTTTTGGACAGAGTAGTATAGCATATTATTGAAAATTCTTCCTTGTGCACTATATACAAGTCCTCTGTAAGTCCAGGCTTTGCAAAGCAGATCATGTCTATTTTACACTACTATGGCAGCTTAGTCACTTGAATGGTCATAAGCTTGACCACCGTCAAGTTTAATCCTCTTGTATTTTCTATGATTGGCTTCACCTTGTCCTATGCTGTGAATATGTTCATTCTCATGATTTTGTATGACTTTGGCCTCTAACAGAAATGAGTACCAGTAAAATTCCTGGGGGTAAAGGGTGCCCGGCACATAAGGCTGACAGCCTCACTGCCATATGTGAGCCGATTGTCTAGAAAATGTGGGTGCCTCAACATCTCACAACCCTATGGGCCGTCACTGCCTGTTACAGGAATACCTTTACTTACTTTATGTTATGGTTATTTGAGAAATATTATACCCTTTATTGTGTTATCCAGTAACTGCTTCTGGTATGTTGTAACATAAAATATTAGAATTACGCTTGTTATCTTCACATTGTGTTACAAGTAATCTCCTGTATATAGTAGAACATTCAGGTTCAGTGTTAGTATAATATTACATAATAAAATTATGTGAATACGGTAGATCTTGAAGCGCTTGATGGTTGGCCTGACTTTTGTCTCCTTGTTTCAGTGATCCTTATGTAAGGATAGACCTCAATACAATTAATGGAGATGTAACTGTTGATTCAGTTCTCACAAAAACGAAGAAAAAGGTAATACATGAATTGTATCATACTATTTCAGATTCTACATATTATTTAAGAACAATTTTTATCTTGCTTAGATCATCTGATTTTGTAATACAAGTGATTTTCTATTAAAATCAGTTAATGAAACTACCACTCATCTGTGCGTGTTCATTTTGGGTGTTAGGTCTTAATATCAAGCATTACAGGTTTTCCTGATGAAAGGTATCCAAAATAAAATAATTATATCTCAGAACCTTATTATTATACACATTTATGGGTTACACTATTACAAAAGGAAAGTATCAAAGTTTTTTTTCTGAGTATATAACTTTCTCAATAAATTTCAATGTGAGCTCCCTTGGTGGCACGACAAATATCCAGATGATGTTTGATGTTGTTCCACATTGCTTGAAGCACATTTAGTGTTACCGTTGCCACAGTGTCCCTTATGCAGGCTTGCAGGTTTTGTAGGTCATTGAACTTAACCTGGTAGACAATTTTCTTTACATAACCCCACAAGATAAAATCCAATTGGGTTAAATCTGGTAACCTAGGAGGCTGAGCGATTGGTCCACCTCTACCAATCCATCTCCTAGCCATCTCTCTGTCCAGGTGATTCCTTACATGGTGGCAGAAATGTGGCAGTGCCCCATCTTGCTGGAGGTGTGGGATCGTCGATGTTTGAAATGACAACCACTTGAAACTCTGAACACTTGTATATATATTGAATTGTTTAAATTGAATTTACAAATAGCAGAACACGGAATATATGTGGAATGTTCAAGCGTTAGCTGGCCCTCTAAGGGCAGTTTGTTCTACCGCAATTTCACTCCTCTGTAGTGGGCAGAGTCTTACGGCCGTTTAGCTGGCCGGTCTGGACAGTGATGCAGTGCTGCGCACGCCAGTAGGATCGGCTAGCTCAGCCAGTTGCTGGGATTGCGGAAGATGCGTTTGCTGGAGACTTGCTGCTGCTTCTTCGGTTGCCTGGTTGCTGGAGGCCTGGGGCAACTAGAGCTGAAGTGAGAAGCTGATGTCTCTGACGACTGATCACAGTTGAGAGTTGATGGCTGGAATGTGCTGAGCCAAATGTGTGTTCTGCTCTTCTGCTGTCATGTTACAACTGACGGTCAGTCAGTCTGTCTGTCTTGGTGTCGAGCCCCAGCTGGGGCTCATGACCAGATATTTCTTTTGAATGAAAGTTACTGTCTTGTCTATGTGGGGCGCCCTCTCTGACAAAAGGTCGGGTCTGTCAATTGTCAGTCAGTCTGTATTAATATGTCCACTGTCTGTATTTACATAAATTTACAATACTGCTCTTGTTGGGCTCCACCTTTTATACCATGCTCGGTGGGCTAAGCGAAACTTGCATTTGAGGAGCAACAATTTGCAGAGTGCTGATTGGCTAGCGAAAATGAGGAGTGGAAATTTGCAGTGTGTGCTTGTATAGATATGAATAAAATGTCCGGCAATGCGATATTCACTAAGGAGTGAGTGTTGTCTAAAAGACCGGTGGAAACAGCGTGCTATGTGGGATGTCCCCCACAGAGGATAGTTCAAGATCATAGTTGGGGCAGTGCATACAGCTCTTGCATGTCCAAGTACAAACGTCTGGTCACAATCTTTTCTGAAAAGAAACACGGTCCAATCAACTTGCTATGCATTAAGCCAGCTCACATGCTCGCTTTGGAGCTGCCTCTCTCCCACTCACATGTGACGTGTGGATTTTGACTGCCCCAAATCCTGCAGTTGAACCTGTTTACAACTCCAATGACATGGAATGTCACCTCGTCTGAGAAGCACACTTGATGGAGGAAATCGGGTGACGGGTCAATTCTTTCTAGTGCGTCCACAGCAAAGTTTTTGCGTGCTACAAGGTTTTAGTGTATGAATAATTTGAATCTTATAGGTTCTTAAGTAGAGTCTTTTGTGTAGCATCTTGTGCGCTGTTGAACGTGGAATTTGTAACTGCCAGCTAGCAGCATGAATTGATTTGCACGGAATTTGCTGGAATGCCTCTCTAATATGATTGACATTTTCTTCAGAGGTCTGTGTCTTTCCAGGAGATTTTACACACAACAGACAACTCTAGTCCTCAGTTTGTTCTCCCAGAACTGAATGCTTTTCTGTGTAGGAGGTTGGTGTCCATATTGCATTCTAAAACGACGCTGGTTAGGTGTAAGCAATTGCAACTCTGCTAGTCACAACACGCATTGAATCTGTTCATGTGGTTTTGACATCGTTACTTAGCTCACCAAAGGTCACAAGCTCTGCACATGTGGGTAAGCCAAGCATGGAAAAAACTTCAGAGTTATTCCTTTCCAATGACATAAACAGGATACATATATGACAGTTTGTTTCCGAGATGTTAATTTTTTATTTTGGTTACCTTTCACTTGGAAACTCTGTATATCGTGAATTTGTTGATGAAACTAAACATTAGTCTTTATTTTGCAGACCCTGAACCCTGAGTGGGATGAAGAGTTTATATTTCGCGTAAGTTATTAGATTATATGACTATGTAAAAAAATGGAATCATATCTAAACAGATTTTGGAAAGTGTATTTAGATTGTCTCCAATCAGGAGTATGCCTTACCTCTCTAGTTCATATTTTATTTGAGTATGCTGTTGGATAAATCTATGATCAGTGAATACTGAATTGGAAAGGATGTAGAATTGTAAGTACTTGCTCAGGATGTTGCTGTAGAGACTGAGAGAAAAACAGAAAATCTTCAGTTGAGTTGTTTGGCATCACAGCAAGTGGAATGTGTTAACACTTGAGCCTCCTTACTTGGTCCTTTCCACTGTAGTTGTTTGAAATTTTGGTTTGAATTTCCAATTATAAAATGTGGAAATTGTCATATTTCTTTCATTAGAAATACATTGTGCAGGTGAAACCAACAGAACATAAACTTGTATTACAAGTTTTCGATGAGAACCGGCTGACTCGTGATGATTTCTTGGGAATGGTGGAGTTAAATCTTCTTAATCTACCTAAGGAGCAAGAAGGAAGAACTATACCATCCAAGCAGTATATTCTCCGTCCTCGCAGGTTTGTAACAACTGTACTTGAGGAAGTCATAAAATTTTAATTATCACCCAGAAGAAACAGAGACACAGGTGCAAGAAATTGTATGTGAGTTAATCCTCTACATATACTTCCTCTAAGGCCACACATTTTCTCCAACGATGCATTAGCTGCTGGATACCTTTGAGATAGAAGGTCTGATTTTGACTGTTTAGGAAGTCCTCCACTGCAGAAATGGCGTTATTATCATCTTGGAATTGCATACCATGAAGTGGCATCTTTAACCATGGAAAGAGGAAGAAGTCACTTGGTGCCAGGTCTGGTAAATGTGATGGATGGGGGAGAATTTCATATCCCAAACTGGCAGCAAGTGTCATCGTAGCATGAGTTGGTGCATTGTCGTGAAGAAGTCACACACCTTTTCCCAGCGTTCCATGTCACTTTTTTTTTATTTCTTCCCATAATTTTCTCAGAAGGTTCTGGTAGTACTAGCTAGTGATGGTGACTCCCTTTTGCGCATAGTCTGTTGTGATGACACCCCGCCGATCCATTCTTTTGGCAGTGTCCTTGAAGCAGACCCTTCATATTTGAGTCTTGTTGTGAACTTTCAGCATTTTTATGGTTTGTGTTCGTCCACTTCGTGACAGTCTTCTTGGCAGCTCCTCCTGAGATGTGACATGTTGGTTCAGGTCCTGTAGATGGTTGTTCAGATCCCATTCTTGCCAGATGATTGGAAATTTTATTGTCAAGTCATGTGTAACCTGACACCCATATTATTTGAACTGTATTTTGGTAAGCTGGTTTCACAAGGGTTTGATGGCAGTTTCAGACCAGTTTATAGTTGATCTGGCAATTGTTGAGTGTTGTGTTATAGCTTGACTGTCAGAATATAGTCATTTCTGTTTTTGTAATTGCTCTTTGTGTTCTCTGATGCACATGTCTTGATGGCATACACTTTTGTCTGAAATACCACAGTGCATTGTCCAAGCAGAAGGTGAATTTTCTCCATGTACCATATTCATAGACCTCATCTGCCTGCAGTGCACTCGTCTTGGAACCATCTGTATACCAGTCTAGTCCACCTTTTCTGTTGTATTGAAACCTGCATTCCTGTTCCTTCTGTCAGGAAGTCTGACTGGGAAATGTTTGTTACAAAAATGTCTCAGTATCATTTTGTCTGTTCCAATTTTTAGGATAGGTTCTTTCTTCATGCCCTGAGCCTTGTAGGCATAGCAGTAGAGTATGCAGACTCCTGCTTGGGCCTCACCCATCCACTGCAGAAGCATTGGAGGGAGTCTGAAGAAGACCTCATTTCCAGCTGTAGGGACTGTCCTCATTGTTTCTGTATTTCCTAAGCAGGCCAGCCTTTGCAGTTTGCTAAGTTCAGCTCTACTGATTTTAAATTTTACTGTTAGGCCTTACAAAGTGGCACCATAGATACGAAGGATATTCGGAAAGTAAAGATAGAAGTCCAGTAAAAATGCAAGGGATTTTTTTGAGAAATGGCAGTGCTGCCATGAGATAGGAACTGTATGACAGGGCAGAGTTCACCAACCACAGTCATGGCAACATTGTGCCTGCAGCATGTGTTTAAATTGGCCATGTCAATTCAAAATCCCGCTAAATGTGAGGTTCATGCAGTAATTGATTTCTTCATGAGAAAAGAGAAACTGCTGCTGAAATTCATCACCAACTTGCTTCTGTTTATGGGGAAGATGTCATGAACAGAAAAAATGCAGCAAAATGGTGTCGTGAATTTGAAGCAGGAAGAAGTGATGTTCATGATGAAATAAGGAGTGGGAGGCCATCGATGAAAACATTTGTGCTGACAGACGTTTAACCATCGATGAACTTCATCAACAATGTCCAGAAGTGTCAATAACTATTCTGCATGAAATTGTTAGAAATATATTAGGCTGACGGAAACTGTGTGCATGTTTAGTGCTGAAAATGTTAACAATCACAAGAAAAATTTGTTTTGTTAGTGCTGGTAGACAGGTGTGTCTTAATGCACATTGCTGGACTATGCCCAAAGCAGTTTGTAGCTCCTGTTACACAGTTTGAGAGAATTTTCCTTTCATTAAGTTTGCAATATGATTGACATTTCTTATTGTATAATAATCACCATCATCGAGTTTCCATAAAAGTTCATCTGAAACCAAGCTTCACCTATCTCCTAGCAGAGGACCTCCACAGGATTTCTCCTGACAATGTGGTTACAATATTACTGCTTTCTAGCATGAAGCATATCTGCCTGCAAGTGGTGTGCCTGACACCATACCTTTCAGCAGCTGGTGTTTGTACATAAAAAGAATTCTGTGAAAAGCTCCCTCTGTATCATGGTAGGGATGTTTCCGTGTGTTCAGTAGCACTTCCAGTAAGCATTTCCACATTATGAAGTGCAGTTTCAGTGAATTTTCGAGTTTGATGGCTGGTCTCACTGCAGAAGATTGTCCTTCAGTACACCATCTTTAATATGCTTCTCCACTAATATCTTCATTATCTTTTAACACATTCAGGACCGGAGGGGCCAATTGGCCCTCTGTGTTTCTATAGCGTTGCAGACCGGGCAGGCCAATTGGCCCTTTTCTGACACGATAAGTTGCAACACGCTATACATCGCTCTGGCGCCACCTACATTGCACGCAACCGCCTGCAGATGCGTGATAAGGCTCTGGAATATTTAGTTAGCTGTCAGTAACTTGACCTTGATGTTTACTTAACTGACTATAAAGGAAAATGCTTTGCCTTCTTCAAGCTGTGTGTATCAGCCAGTAGGTAGTGGGGAAAATGGATCAAGGACAAATTCTCCTCCGAAGACCTAGCTGACCTGGCTTGTGTGCGAGATGCATAGTAATGGTGATTCAGAGAGCGGCAGTGACGGGAGAACAAAGAATTGTGGCCACAGACTGTAAAAGTGACAGTAGCTCTGATGATAATGCAGGTAATAACATTGCGCCTAGTAACATTGCGGGGACAGCAAAAAATCTAAACCCTGATTCAAAATTGAAATACAAAGCATTTATGATGAATGTGGCAAAGGCTTGGGCTAGAGACCAGATGGTGGCGAAAGAACCAGAGTCTGACAGACTTAGTGCAACCTAGCCCATCAACTCCCACCCCACACAGGCCTCATGTGGACACCCCTGGGCGACTCTCTGGTGATATGCGGAAACATACCCTCGTTAAACTGTGAAGAGTGAACATTCCAAGGGGAAGCATCCTTCTAGGCAATGCCATGTTTGTGCAGTTCACAAAAAAGGACTATGACTGTTTACATTTGCAAGTGTGTAATGCCACTTCATAAAGGGGAGTGTTTCCAGAAATATCACACACTTAAGCACTTCTAGCATCATTGATAAGTGTTCTCCAAAAATTTTAGTTCATAAAATTAATTAGGAGATTTTATATTACTTTTTAAAGTGAACAGCACACATGTTAGGGTAGTAGGTATAAAAATGCTGGTCCCCTGGGTGATTTAAATAAATATTTAAATCGCCGGTCCACAAAGTGGTAAAGAAAAGATGAAAGGCTTATATAATAAGCCTTGTCCTCTGTGCACTCAGACTTTTGAGGCACTGTATAAACGTCACTTTGACCTGCCTCCAAGCCGCAGGAACGTACCCGCATGTCAGAGAAGCTCTAAATTTACCACCCAGCTGAGTGACTAAGTGTACCATCCATAGTTACATAAGTGCAGTAACAGTCTCATCCGTTCCTGCAGACTTAATTGATTTAAAGGCACGTAAGGCTCGTTTGATTTCACGTTGATTGACAAGATTGCTGGCCAGGTTCAGTCTCACCCATTCATTCTTGATTAGCACATGCTCAGGTTTGGCTGTCCCCATCCATTATATTAATCATCAGTCAAACTTGAATCTGGAAAGTGAACTGTGAATAGCCCTTCTAGAGTTTCCCTTCCAGTTTTAGTGTATTGATCATCAGGTAACCTAATAGTGCTAACCCCATTACTTGCCCTTTTGCCATGACCCTGATGAGTCTGGCACTGCCTGGTACATCATCGATTACCAGGCAGTACTTCTCCATGAGGACTTTTGGACATGTGACTTTTTGTCATAACAGGTGAGGACCTTATATAAGATGTTCCAGTCTCTTGTCCACTTGGATGTATTAAATAGTCTTATTGTTTTGACCCTCAGTCCATTCTACTCTTTATTCCACCAAGGCCAGGCAGTAAATATTACCTCGGAAGAAGAAAAGGCTTGGGATGACCTTTGAAAAGACAGGTCTTTTATGTAGTATCCACAGTAGGACAACCAGGTTGATTGCTTGGGAGGAGAATCACAATATAATTGATGACAAAGCATAATTGAATTATATTTGCATGTACAGTATTGTCATGTATTTAGTGACTAGACAGGGGGTTTGGATTGGTAACTGGATTTATTGGACTCTTACAAATTGTAGCTATGAAGAATAAAAATGCTTTCACTAATTCAAACGCTCTTCAATTCAGTGTAGCGCACACTAGGTCCTTTCGGATCGTCTTCATTACTGGTTGCCTGGTAATAACTCCCAACAGTGCAGATTACTCAGCTTCTCTGTTACATGGGTGCTATTTTGACTCACTGGCAGCTCCCTCAACTATTACAGTCAGAGAGTAACTTTATGACAGGCAGTTTACCATCAGTCAGTTTGTTATGGCATCAAGCCTCTTGAGGCTCACAACCAGAGATTTTTTGCAGCTGAACTGTAGCAGTCATACTCCTTGTGTAACATCTTCTATAGCAAGAGGATGGATTGATCTCCTATGAATATGCTTGGCCTTGTATATGTGTGTGTAAGGGGTCGGCCATAAAATCCAGCCCTCGCACTGCGACCCTCAATGATCTGTTGTGCTTCCCCTTTGGATTAACCCTTTATTAATCCTACACTTCAATGAAATATGCTTGGCCTTTGTCAGGTATAACAGACTGCATTGAAAACACCACTTTCAGCATTTCCTCTTTTGCCTGGTTATTTGTTGCCATGGAAACAAGTTGTTTACCCAAACATTGCTAGCAACAGATGTTTCTTCTTGCTCTGCACTTCTGACTTTCAGCCTGTATGTCACATTATGTTAATTACCTTCTTCTTTGACTATAGTGGCCTAGATAGAAATTGGCAGTAGTAGTGAGTAAAGGATGCTTGAGAATATAATTTTCTTAAGGTTAGCTGTCATCGCAACAAATGATTTATAATCAATCAGTATTTTACAGATTGAAATTTATGACACACAACAGGCTGCACACTGTGAAGATATAATTTTCTGTCACCATATTTATACTTCAAGCTCTGTTTTATGACACAGTGCGAGATCTCGAGTGAAAGGTCACCTGGAGTTGTACCATGCTTTTATAAGAGAGCCACTAGGAGGAGGAGAGGTAATGAGGCCTGGCGAAGATGTTCTGAGATCACGACAGGAGTCAGATCCTGACTGGGAGATTGTTGATGAGCCCGTCATGCCAAATGTGGAGTCTGCTGCTCAGGTATGGGCTGACTTTTCTCTTTAGGGTTCTGTATGAAGTATATAATTAATTTGTTTCATTCTGGTCCGTCACAATAACAATTACAAATTATAAATCACTCCATCCAATGTGACTTGTAAGCTTTTTACTACATAAAAACTTAACACCCATACATGTTTCGGTCTCTGTGGACCATCTTCATAGGGCGAACATCACTACAAATAGGAAACCACTATCACATAATTTGTTTACACGCAAAGTACGTACACTTATATGTTACAACACACAGTACACAGAATAGAACATTTCACAAACACAGCAGTTTCCTGGGAATGTAAGTTTTAAAAAATTGTATGAAATTCCTTGATGCTAATTAAAAGTTTTTTAGATTGTCAGTAATTAAAATTTGTAAACCATGCAGGCTCGTGTTCGTCCTCCCATCGTCTCTCTTATATGGGGCAGATATTGTGCCACCTGGCTATCTTGATGTGGAGGTTCTTTATATCGTCTAGGGTTTGCTCGTGGCTGCTGTGCTGTTTTCACTGTTCACAAATTTTAATTACTGACAATCTAAAAAACTTTTAATTAGCATCAAGGAATTTCATACAATTTTTTAAAACTTACATTCCCAGGAAACTGCTGTGTTTGTGAAATGTTCTATTCTGTGTACTGTGTGTTGTAACATATAAGTGTACGTACTTTGCGTGTAAACAAATTATGTGATAGTGGTTTCCTATTTGTAGTGATGTTCGCCCTCTGAAGATGGTCCACAGAGACTGAAACATGTAAGGGTGTTAAGTTTTTATGTAGTAAAAAGCTTACAAGTCACACTGGACAGAGTGATTTATAATTTGTATATAATTAATTCTTCAGAGCCCTCCTAGCAAACTATGTGTGTATGTCCTCTTGTTTGATTTAGTTGTAAACATAACTGCCAAAACTAATTGACAAATTTTTTGTGAAATTCAGTATGAACATCATGCCACTAGGTACCATCCTCTCTATCTTAATTTTCTGTGATCAACAGTGTCTGGGGAATATAGTAACACTTCAACTCTATTCCAGTACTAGCACTATTTTAGGCCATTTTTATAACATAAATATTAATCCAAAATCAATACAGTAATGGCAGAACCTAATACAAAGGGAACATCGGCTTTTTCTGAACTATCAGTCTGCACTGTCCGTGAATTTAATAGTTAAAATATGTAGCTATTTAAGTCCTCATTTGATTTGGTTTAGTGACTTCTAAAAAGAGAGATCTAACTATGTTACAGTAACTGCAGTAAACCACAGACATTTGAAACACATGTAGAGGCTTTGCACCTTCAGACCCATTCAAAGTGACATCATAGACCATACCAACACTGCTGAACTACCATAACTTCTAACTTCATGGAACTGAGCCCTACTTTAGAGGCCACCAGTCATGTAGCTACTCAAGAACTTCTGAACAAGTTATGGAACCGAAAGGTTCATTACCGTGTTCACAGGAGCCCTCCACCAGTCCCTATTCTGAGCCAGATCAATCCAATCCATACCACCCCATCCTGTCTAAGATCTGTTTTAATATTATCCACCTACTTACATCTTGTACCTCCTAGTGGTTTCTTTCCTTCTGGCTTTCCCACCAATATCGTATATATTGTGTTTTAAAAAACTACTGAACCTTTGGTCAGCAGAAATACATTTATTGATTTGGAGGTACAAAACCCTAATCCCCTTCAAAGTAGCCTCCTTGGTAATGCACACACTTCTCCCAGCGCTTCCACCATTGTTGGAAACACTTCTGGAACATGTCTTTTGGAATGGTGATCAGCCGGACCGTCGCATTCTGCATGATGTCTTCTCTTGACTCAAATAGGGTTCCTTTCAGTGGCATTTTCAGCTTGGGAAATAGCCAGAAGTCACGCGGAGCCATGTCGGGGGAGTAGGGAGCCTGACGAACCACAGGGATGTTGTGTTTGGCGACGAAAGTCTGAATCAGCTGCGCAGAATGGGCGGGTGCATTATCATGATGGAGCCGCCAAGTTTTTGCTGCCCACAGATCTTGTCGTTTGTGCCGCACAGCATCACGAAGGCAACGAAGGACCTCCTGGTAGTATTCCTTTGTGATGGTTTGGCCTTGTGGTGCATACTCATGATGCACAACCCCACAGGAGTAAAAGAAAACAGCCAACATGACCTTGACATTGCTGCAGACCTGCCGTGCTTTTTTTGGCCTCGGGGATGTCGGATGTTTCCACTGTGACGACTGCATCTTGGTTTCCGGGTCGTACCCATAAACCCACAGCACATCGCCTGTGATCACGATGTTCAGAAAGTTGGGGTTACCGTTTGCATTGTCCAGCATGTCCTGTGTGATTTCCAGACAGCGTTGCTTCTTCTCCATTGTTAGCAGTTTCGGTACGAATTTCGCGGACACTCTCCTCACGCCCAAATCCTCCGTCAAAATTGAATGTACCGATCCAATGCTTACCCGTATCTCGTTCGCAAGTTCTGAGACTGTGATACGAGGGTCCTTCATGACCAAAGTCCACACTTGCTCGATGACATTCTCATTTCGGCTTGTTGAGGGTCTGCCTGAAAGCGGTTCGCTGTCCACTGATGTGCGGCCATCTTTGAAGCGGTTGTATCACTCCTTTATCCGTGAGTTGCTCATGGCATCGTCCCCGAAAGCCTGTTGAATCTTGCGATGGTTCCCACTTGGGTATCGCCAAGCTTTTGGCAAAATTTTATGCAATATCGCTGCTCATGTTGTTCCGTCATTTTACACCTTACTGGAATCTGACGAGCGCTCACTACACGTGCTCACTCATAGGCCGACTGCCAATGACTGACGCTTTCTGCGGGCAGGAAAAATTCACGACTGCGCATGAATGTCCCCACCACATCTTCACTGAAGGGAGCCTCCTGCGCTTCATTGGTTTATGCAGGAAAAAAGAAGGTTCAATACTTTTTGAACACACCACATAAATTCATCTTCACTCCCTTTCGTGCTACATGCCCTGCCCATCTCATCCTCCTTGGCCTCATCATTCTACCATCCTTAAAGAAATTTGCTCATGATGAAAATTCCAGAAACTAAGCGAATTGATGTTGTGGTATTGCTGTAGATGTGTATTTGAGAGGTCTTAGTTTGAATCTCAGCTTGGACACGAATTATTTGGACTGTTTTTTTTTTGTGGTTTTCTTCTGCTCCTCCAGGCAAATGGCAGGATACATCTCAATTTAGTGATGGCTACATCTTCCAAATCATTCATCAGTTATTCTGCTATGTAGTGTAAATACTGGCACTGTAATACAATACCAAGGGTTATAAGCATCATTGTATCTGATACACCACCATTGTGTAGCTGTTTGTTATAGTGTATACTGTGTGTCTGTGAGTTTACTATGTATGAACAAAATTTTGAAACATGATTACACAAGAAATATCTGGAATATTCATTAGTAGTTTTACAAGATTATGAGTTGAACTACTGTTTTATTTATAGCTCTTCGTCATGAAACACATTACATTAAGTTTCAAATGTTTTGTTCAGTTTTGTTTTGATTTGTTTTCCATCCCTGCCCATGGCATAAATTTTCATAAAATTTAGTTCTGGATTAAAAAGACATGGATTTAGCAACTTAAAATTAAATCCTGACATTTTGTTGTAATATTATTTTTAAGTTTAAACATCCCTTCAGTTGAGGCATTAAATGGATTCGGTAATATTTAATGTTTGACTGTGGAAGATTTGGTTGTAGTGTAGATGGTGTTTTTGCAGAACCAGGAGCAGTTGCCACCTCTGCCACATGGGTGGGAAGAGCGACAGGATGCTAATGGCCGCACATACTATGTGAACCATATTGCCCGTTCTACTCAGTGGGAAAGGCCTTCCTTTAAGTAAGAAATTTCTTAGTTTCTTTACCACTATTCACTTCCAAAGGTTCCCTACAGTCCAAAAAATATGTGCTTCAGTTTGATGAATTAATAATATGGTAGCTGAACAGAGTGAATGAATTCATAGTAAAATTCCTTATGCAGGATTACAGTTTTCTGGGCACTGGACAAAAATTGTGATTTTGAGAAACAGTATATTACAAAATAAATAATTAGTATATTTTATGCTCCTCATATTAGGAAGTATAAGTTTAACATGGTACTGACCAAAAAGTTTGCATAAGTGGTAATGCTTGTAACTTGTATTTTTGGGGAGGTGCTTTGTTTTCCTCAGGCCTTCTGGTATGTTACACTGCAGTTGTGTAATAGTTGCCCAGTGTCTGAGTGTATTTAACTTACAGGAAGTTTTGAAAGTTGGCTGGTGGCCTGTCTTAAGGTTATTGGTTGTTAATATTCTGACAGATATTTGTATTTTTTTGTTTTTGTTTTACTACCTGTTACTGTACACTGATAAGGTACCTCAGTTGCTGCTTCTATTAACATTCATTCAATTTTCCCTATTTTTCTTTTGATTTTCGTTTGATTGTCATCCTGAAGTTGATAGTAATGCATTATAAAGTTTATTAATGTAATTGTGAAAATATGAAACCTAATGCATCATCATTTATATTCATCTTTTATTAATCAGACTGCCTATATCAGCCTAGGGAAGCTTGTCATTTTCAAGCACATATGTATGCATGGCTGTGCAGTAGAATGATGAACAGTGGAATTTTTGGATCAGCATCATACTAGTAGAGTGCTGCTTTGAAACTAAGTGGTTAGGAGAGTGATGTGAACTTAAATGATCAGACTTATATCATTTAGGATCATAAAACTGCATGATGTGTGTGTTACTTCTGTGAGTTCTTAGCACTGATATTGATGTAACCCATTCAGTTCTTCTGCTTTGGATCAGGCTTTTTACCCAACGCACAGCATTAAATAGCTCAAATTGTAGCAATGCAGTAGTTAATGGTTTGCTATAAATATGTTTTTTTACAGCAATGGTGGAACTTACAATGATCAAGTCCGCGAGCGTAGTCTAGAATCTGCAGTTACAGAATTTCAGAGACGGTTCCACATTAGTGTAGATGACATTGAAGCTAATAGAAGAGAAAGTAACTCAGCAGGTCATCAGGTGAGAGAAGTGAAATATTTGTGCATGTTTCTAACGTAAGAAATCAGAAATACCTACTTAGATAAAATGTATACTTATGTCATGGCTTTGTTTCTTCATTATTCAGTTATGTGCATGATGTAAAGCCTGAAATATATAAACCAGAGACGGAACATTTTGAATCAGCAAAGTTTTTAATAGGTGAAAAGTATGTAGTGTAGTAAGTCTACCAATAATCTCAATGTTTTGATTGTGATTCAAGGTATAGATCATTGTAGGACATGCCTGAGTTATCAGATCTTACTGTGTAATTGTTTGTAGCCATTATTATGCAGTAAACATGAGAGCCATATGTGGTATTTGAGGTTCTCACAACAATCCTTATATAGCTTTCTATCTTGTGGGATATAATGCCATGCAATACAGTGAAAGTCAGCTGGTATTTTGGGGGAACATACTGCGTGAAGCAGGCAGCAAGCAGAACCTGCTTCATGTGACTTTCTTCCTTGACTTATTCTTCAACTCTGAAGATGGAGGCAACATGCTCCTCTCAAAACATCGATTGGTTTTCACCAGACTACTTAGTGTTATAGTCTGGTGAAAATCAATTTATATTTCAGAGGAACATGTTGGTTTTTCTCCTCTCCATGTCCATACCAGTTCTGGAGCCCACCTAACCTCCTATCCATAGGGTTCCAGGGGCTTTTCCACTGGGATTGAAGCAGCTGGGGTGAAGCTGACCAGTTACCACAGGGACACTTTAACTTAGTGTTATATCACAGAAGATAGAATTATTCATGAGAGCCATACACCATACAAGTTCTAACCCTTTTAATACCTAAACCTGAGACTAAAAGTTTTGCAAGAATAATTGGGCTTTTCCATAAAAGTTGGTTTAATGATGTCAGATCTCTGTACCCAAGATAGAGAAGGAATGTGTTGACATCTAAGTATTCCATATCGTTGTATGATAATTGCATGAAGTCCAGAGCAGATGACTGAGTGGATAGCAAATGGTGACTAATTATTCAGTCATGAAAAATATTGCCTGAGGTAGTCACTCATTTATATGTGGTATGAGCAGTTTCACCATCTGGAAGAATGTATATTTCTTCTCATCACTTTAAATGATGTGAGAATTAGTTCAATGTTTTTTTCATTCCCTCCTGCTNAAAAAAAAAAAAAAGAAGGGCCCAGTGATTAATCAACTCTAATTTCATATAAATGGACCTCATATATCAGTATATCATTTTCTGGGCTAGTGTCATGTCATTCTTGGTGTGTGCCTTTTCACATGAAATGAATACTTATTCTGAGAATTAAATTAGCAGTGGCTCAACTTCACTGCCACATGCTGGCACATAAAATCAGATATATATTTGAACAGTAAAAACATTGTGTGTTGGGCTGTACTTATATTCAGTAACAAACACATGCATTTCTCTTTTTTCATATGTACGAAGGGGGACCCAAAAATAACCGGAAATGACCTGTTGCGCGCGCATGCTTTGTAGTTACGAGTTGTGCTGCTAGGTGGTGTTAGCTGGGGGTCTCCCGCGACTGTTAGTGAGCTGGCGTCAGTCTGAGTTAAGTGGTTTGTCTGTGGTGCTCTGTTGTGTGCGTTCCTGTTTCAACCCTTTGGCGATTAGTGAGATGGCCGACCAGAAGGAACAAAGAGTGTGCGTGAAATTTTGCTTTCTGTTAGGGAAAACTGCACTTCACTCTTCAAGTCGCAGTAAACATTCACGCGGTTTTCTCTTCGGTCATCTCCGAGCAAGCGAGGAACAAATTTTGCAGACACCCGTCTCATGTGCAAACCTTCGGTTAAAATTCGCTGGACCGTGCTCCATGAGATGTTCGTTTCCTCAGAAGGTTGGTAAATGGTCTTTCGACGATCTTCATCAATTGTTAGGGTTACTCGCCCTATGTCTAAAGTGCTGGAGCGGCTAGTTCTTGTTCCACACTGTACAGGTGTTATTCTGTGTGGTCTTCCTGTGTGCGTGCCGCTGCCGCTTGATATATTGAAGAAGTTGCAGTCTGGTCTAGAAACCTGAAATTAATGGCTCTGGGGATTCATTGCGCTGACTACGTGACACCCTGTATCCGCAAAAGTTGGCACTAACTTCGCCGATAAGCGGCGGTCTCTCGGTCAGTATAGTTCGCTTGCGGACTAAAATCATGGAGTTGAAGAAGTTGCACAGACGATGAGAAGTGTGAGTGCTATTTTAGGCTAATGAAAATGAATTTAGCTTGAAAAATGTTTGTTTAAATCCTCCCTCCCCATTTCAGATTTCATTTCAGTTCATTGAATGTTTTTGGGGTTGAAATATGCAGGTAAATGGTCAGGTATTTTATTACACTTTTATTTCATGCACTTAAGATATTCCCAACTTTTTAAACCATGGAGTATCAGATAGATGAAAGGGCAATAAATAGGTAAATGAGGAGAAGAGATAATGAAGGAATGTGGAAATTAGAATGAGAACAATAAATGTTGAAGATTGTCACAACACATGCATGTCACAACACACAAATAAGGACTTTAAGAACATAGTGCAGAGTTCTCACAAAACAACATCCTGAAGGCAGTTGTATAACCTACCCATGCTTCCTCTTTCATTTTTAGACAGGACTCATCACTTGCTGTATGTTTACATAAATCATTAGAGCATAATCCTGTATACATAAAATTTATTTAACAATTAACCCTGACATGGTTTGAATCTAAAGTTTCTTCATAAAATAGTTCGCTGCCAGAGATTACATGTTTACATAACCCTACCTAAATAATATATCATGTTTGTGTAAAAAATGGAAGACATATTCCACTATGGGAAATCTTGATTCAGTTAATAATGTCAAGTGATAGAATGACTATAGATGGGGTTTGGATTGGTAATTAGGTTTATTGAACACTTACAGAAAATAACTAAGGGACTAAAATGCACTTGCTAATTGTCACACTTTACAGTTCACTACAGCACACACTATGTCTTCTCAGTCTGCTGTATCTTCACAAGTTGTCACCTGGTAATGGCTTTCAGTGCTGTAGCTTCTTCAACTTCTGTATTCACGTCCTTACTGGCCAGTGATTGTCTCACAAACGAACTAAACTCTAGGCTTGCCCTGCTTAAAACACCTTGGCATGGGCCGCATAGAAAACATTACTTCCAACAGTTCTGTTGTTGCATCGTGCAGCTGTTACACGTACCATATTGGAAACACCGCTTAGCAACAGAAGTACGTGCTATATTGCTCCCTCCTTAAGGCTGTCTGTCCTGAATAGGCTACAGGCATACCACCATTTCTTCTTTTCTGAGGGCTGTGCTTGTGATGTCTATGATTGGCCTTGCCTTCCTTCCCTGTTGCTCAGTTCTCATGGTGATTACTCTCCAACTGCTCCTGCTGCTCCCTCCTTAAGGCTTCTTGTCCCGAGCAGTTCCCTGATAAGGTGCAATCTGGTCCAGGTGTACCTCCACCAACCTTGATCTAAGACTGAAGCTCCTGATAACCAGAGTCTGTTAATATAGTCTAATAATTTCAAGTTAAAACAGTATATATCTCACTTTATTGTTATTTGTAGGGACTGGCTATCAAGAATTAAAACAAGAAGTTATGGGGTAAGAACTAACAAGTATTTGATACAAAATGGACCACATAGAAAACTCTGTGTCAAGTAGTTCTTCTGTTGCGTATTTGTCACCACAGGAATGTGTTCACGGAGCCATTTTCCAGCAAAGGCCTGCAAGCATGTTTACAAAGCCGTTACCTAGCAACGGCATAAAAAATGTGTTTACTGAGCCGTTACCTAGCGATGGCTTGGAGTGTGTTTACTGAGTCATTGCCAAGGAATGGCCCAAGAACATGTTAACTGGGCCTTTGCCTAGCAATGAAGGGGATGGCTACACAGACACAGACAGCAAGGTGATCTCATAGCCTCCTTTTATTTCTTCAAAATAGGGGGAAAAGGATGTTTACTATATTTTTGTATATTTGACTGATTACTGCTCTTTTTTAGAAATTCACTTTTTTCATATTGTATCATTTTATCATAAGCTATCCTATTCCTTTTTTTTTTTATCTTGGAGAAGTACAGCACACACCAAAATATGCAGTACTGAAATGAAAAGATGACCTGATGATACCACTGTCTATTCATGTGAAGATGGCACACCATATCGTCACACGTGTACTGTGTAGCGGTTTCTGGACAGTAACATCTGGCCACTCAAAACCAAGGAAGTGAGTTGTCTGGCGACCACTTCCATATGCTCGGAAATAATACTCAACTATGAATACTGTTTCTTCCATTGAGAGAACCATTTCCAAGAATAGCTGCACAACACATGTTCCTTTTCACTACTGGGAACACGTGCGGCTGGAGCTATGCCCCATTGACAAAAGCACTTGCGCGTTCGAGATACACGAGTTTCTGCATATTTTGGTGCATACTGTATATTACAGTTTTCTTGAAAACAGCTCAAACAATTGTGATTAATTTTTAGTAACAAGTGGAGTCTATCCTCCTATATAGGATTGCATGAGTGATATCTTTATATATCAAATAGATATAAAGTGTAACTTCTGTATCAGTTTTCTATCTCTTTCCTGCCACAGACTTAATAGAGTGCATAAAAGAAATTCTTAAATATGTTCCATATTCTTGCAGTATGTACAGTAGCCATGATGAGCAAGTATTGCTGTAAGGTCCTGAAAGCAATTTAAGCCCTAATATTAAAGTCTTCTGTCAGTAAGCAGTTGTCTAGCCCTCTTCCCGAACGGTTGTATATTTGTCTTTTTTAAGTTCAGACAATATTCATGACCGAAATAAACTGCCCCGAGCAGCTTTTCCTAGTTTCCTTACGTCCGCTCTATTCCCGGCCGAAACCAGCTCATTTGTTCTAAGCGCTTCCTGAAGAAGAGAATAATAATGGGTTATTCGAGGTGAAGGATTATAGATACCGCCAAGCCAGTAGAGGCCGAACTCGCTGACTTGGTCGGGACTGATGGTAAGCACCAGTATCGGTAGGGTATACAGACTGGTAGAATATCATAGAGGGAAGCACAATAGATCAAATTGGTCGCGGTGCATGGGGAAACCCACCCTCTCCAATAACTAACTAACTAACTAACTAACTAACTAACTAACTTTGTCCTTTGTTTATAACATCCTGGCACGGACCACGTAGAAACTCCGTTCCTCTGTTGCATGCCCATCCAACGCGTCTACGGAAAGCCCAAAGATCTGCGAGAGATCTGAGAGATCTGCGAGTAAAGAGGACATTCAATATATATCTAAAATAAGCAGGGTGTGAGGAAGGGAACTACACTGAACAAGCTCAGCATAGGAACACATCAGTGAACCTTCGGATGTCGTAAAGATGGAAGTTTATTGACCAGCTGAGAAATTACGCAATTCTGAATCACTATCCTGCACCACGATATTAGTTAAAACCGACACTCGTTAGAACACCGAGGAAATGATATTTAATCACATTGTAGTAAGCCTAGATCTTCGTTGGACTTTCGCATTGTTCGAACTTCAAAGTCATGTTGTGAACGGCCTTAAATTTGTTTATAAANNNCCCAAAGAAAATGAAAATTTGTCTGTGTTGTCTCACTGTAAATTGTTTATGATTAGACCTGTGTGAAGCAGGATTATGCTCTTGTTTAGTTCGCATTGTATGTAGGCCATACTGAAAGTCTTGAGCACATTTATGTTTGTAAGTCAACAGTTATAAACACAATATCAACGTGAGACTTAAAGGTTATATTTGTCAGACTTAATGCATAAAATATCTGTACTTAAGTAACGTGCTTCCAGAAAAAAAAATCTTCACATTCACAACTGATAGACCTTCAAATCCAACTCACGCCTATTCTTGGCGTGAGCGCTTGACGTCATTTACGAAGCTGCTATTTAACGGAACGTAATATAGGACTGTCGTAACGTGGAATATAAGTCGAAATATGACGTTATGTATAAAATTGAGCGTCTTAACGGTTTTTCCACCCAAAGTATAAATTTTTGTTGTTATATTCCGAGTTTATCTTGCTACGTGATAGCTTTATTTAAGGAATTGTATCCTATTTCTTTACGATTTCAAGCTAAGTTACGGAACTCTAATTTTTGGGGGGGATTTTACTTTTATTTCATTAAATTTAAAATATTTTTTCATTATTTCAATATAATTTAATGAATATTAACCCACTTTTAGGAGATTTCAAGTTAATTAAAGATATTTCGACATTTTTCTAGATTTCACCCTTATTAAAGGAATTTGGAATAATTTCTGAACGATTTCAACCTAATTTAAGGAATTTAAACTTCTCTATGTTAGCACTTCTGACTTGCATTCAGAGGTATCTGTTTTGAATCTTAGCTGGGCACTGACTATTTTCCTCAGTCTGTCCATGCTAATGCTAGGTTAGTGCCCCAGAATAGTCCTTGATTGCTTCCTGCCACATCCTTTCAAACTGATTGTTCACTGGTCATCCAAGCAGTCAGTGATATATACTTTCAGATACTGGCTGCATCTCTAAATGAACCATAAATAAATAAATTAGAAAGTTATAGTTATTCTTGTGTGCCAGTCTATAGTAAGATCATATACATTTTAATCGGTGTTTTTGTGATGTTATATCCTCATTAGTTTTGTGATTTCATCCTTCTCATGGTTAGGTTGAATGATTCAGGTTGTAGTATATACGAGGGGGGACCCAAAAATAACCAGAAACGACCTGTTGCGCGCGCATGCTTTGTAGTTATGAGTTGTGCTGCTAGGTGGTGTTAGCTGGGGGTCTCCCGCGACTGTTAGTGAGCTGGCGTCAGTCTGAGTTAAGTGGTTTGTCTGTGGTGCTCTGTTGTGTGCGTTCCTGTTTCAACCCTTTGGCGATTAGTGAGATGGCCGACCAGAAGGAACAAAGAGTGTGCGTGAAATTGATGAAGATCGTCGAAAGACCATTGACCAACTTTCTGAGGAAACGAACATCTCATGGAGCACGGTCCAGCGAATTTTAACCGAAGGTTTGCACATGAGACGGGTGTCTGCAAAATTTGTTCCTCGCTTGCTCAGAGATGACCAAAGAGGAAACCGCGTGAATGTTTGCCGCGACTTGAAGAGTGAAGTGCAGTTTTCCCTAACAGAAAGCAAAATTTCACGCACACTCTTTGTTCCTTTTGGTCGACCATCTCACTAATCGCCAAAGGGTTGAAACAGGAACGCACACAACAGAGCACCACAGACAAACCACTTAACTCAGACTGACGCCAGCTCACTAACAGTCGCGGGAGACCCCCAGCTAACACCACCTAGCAGCACAACTCGTAACTACAAAGCATACGCGCGCAACAGGTCGTTTCCGGTTATTTTTGGGTCCCCCTTTGTATGCTGCTGTACTGTAGCTTTGTTGTGTCTGTCGGTACTGTCGTCTTCATTCAGGTAGTTTTGTGTGTTATCTCTTGTGTTCTGAATGTTACAATATTTTGATGTGGCATGTGTTTCATTTTGCGCATGCCACATAATGGTGATCAGGAACACATCATCAATGGAAGTGATGAAGATTATGAATTTCTGGGGGGAGAAACTAGAGAGGTATGGTTAAAGCTCTTACCTGTATGCATGCTAATATTTTAGATTTTCTTGTGTATTTCTTTAATTACTAATTAGGATGGTAGATTTTCTGTTTCTCATTAAAACTATCTTAGAACTCACTTCTTTCACAACGTGAATTTGCAGTATTATTGTGGTAAATGTGATGGTTTTAGAACTGCTTGAGTTTGTTAACAGGCAGTATTAAGTGTCTTCCTGTAGTGGTCTGATGAAGGTGCATGATCCAATTTCTTCTTGGTGATTCTTCATTGTATTTAGCAAGGTTTTTTTAGACTGCAGAATGTATGCAACATTGAATGAAATATGAAGATGATTGTGAATGCTGAGTGAGTAAAGGGTTTGGAAGGAGGTAATGTTTGTTTATTGCAGGATATTATTCTGGCATTGAAGTTAAGGGACTAAGGAAAACTGAGAAACCTCAAGATATGACAGTAACCTGGTTGAGATTCAAACCAGGATCTCTCTCATACAATGTTAAGAGTGTTACCACAATACAAGTCTGTTTATTATTTGGACTTGAACTAGTACATATAATTTTCGAAGTGAGATTGGCAAGTGGAATGTTGTTTGCACTTACAGCAGTTCGAAGGATGAAAATGGAGAAGTTCTGTGGTGTCTCCTATAAGTTGTCCCGAATTATTTATTTATTTTTTATTTATTTCGTCTCTATAGATCATTGTTACATGATATAGGACGAATCAGTTACTGTACATTGGCTGATTACAATAAGAGAATTAAGTTACAATACTTACAGTTGTTTACAGTAGATTACAATAGTTAAGAGTTTGTATAGTGTGAGGTGGAATCCATATTAGGTCCCCTCAGCACGTCAGCTTCCATATGTCCTATCGTACCTGTACTGGTGATAAAGCTTATGGAGAATTTGATGGAATGATTGCCAGGGGAAACTGAAGTACTTGGGGGGGGGGAACCTTCCCCAGGGCCACTTTATCCATTACAAATCCCACTTGACTAGACCACAGTGGTGGGAAGCCAGCGACTAACCGTTTAAGCTATGGCACGGTAATAATGGTAGTAATGGTAATATAGGGACTAATCTCCGAGGGTAACGTAACCTCTCATTCTTGAACTTCTGCTTGAAGTTAGAATTGTTGTTAAAGTATGTATATCCTTGCAGAGAACTGAGATTTTGTAGTTGAAATGACATAACTAGTACAGAATACCCTCATTATAGAAGTGTATTTATAAAGTGTGTCTGTATTATGGAATTTTGTAATGGGAACTATACTTTGCCATGACTGAATTCATTTTTATTTGTACTTCTTATTTAAGAAAGTTTTAATATGTAATCTACCATGCATATATTTTATTCACACGCTATTTCAATTTTACACACTCTGAGCCATCTTACTGAAACGTGAAAAGGTCTTGAAGACCGAAATTTGGTTCTTGGGTGGGAAGTACCAACTCAAAGAGACTCTCACAAATATATCAAATGAATATGTATATATATTAAATAACAAATACAAATACAACCTAAGTACCTGGAGGTAATAAGCCTCCGACAATCACAATCATACCGACCAGAAAAGGTGAATTGACTGCACAGTTCAGGGTCCCACAACAGAATGGATCACTCGCGTTGGACCTCAGCTGACGGGAACCAGGAAGTGGAACGTTGGAAGGGGTAAGTAGTAAGAAAGGGGGTGGGGGGACGCCCTCTGATGTAACGTAGACCCGGCGTTACATCCTCCCCCTCCAAAATTCACCCATGGGGGGTGACGCTAGGTTGTAGGGGGCTGCTGCTGATTGCTGATGGCAGGAGCGGTGGGTTGCATCCCGATGGTGAATAATATCAGGTGAGCGTAACACGTGCATAAGTCCCACACTGGGCGTGCTCACAACGATAAAGTAGTGTAGATACACACGATGCTACAGTCCGCACTCTGTACCAAAAGTGCTGATAGGTGTCCGCGACCACAACTCTGACATACGCGGCACCCACTCTGTCGCACATAGCCTGCAGCAATCGGGTCGTTCACCGGTTTAGTTCAGTCCCACCTCAAGACGCTCACTGTCGACTGCAGATGTCAATTTGCTACTGAGACAGTAGGACATTCTCTCCGCCGGAGACGATATAGTCTGCGAATCTGGGGGCCCTCTGACGTAACGTAGACCCGGCGTTACATTACTTAATGTATCTGTGCAATTAACTGTTACAGATATTATCTTGTTAGTGATTTTGTTTGTTTCTTGATTTTAGGCTGCTGATATCACAGACAGTACTGCTCAGTCCCAGCATGAAGCAGAAACTGTGAGTTTACAAAGTTGATAAAGCATTTTGACCATTTAGTATAAACATAAAAGAATCTTTTGCAGTAGTGAGATGGTGGGGCTGAGGTCAGATATCCTGTTATGCTTGATCAAATGCATGTGTTTTAAACTCCTTGTTTTGTGGTATCGAATGGTTCAGAATTTTCTCGCAACTTGAAGAAGCTTCAAAGAAAATTTGCGGTTTTTATAGAGTTATTTCAGAGCCAAACTTATGATTTGCATGTGTTTACCTGCATGCAGTAGTTCTCCCAGCCACAGGTAGCAATGCTGCCCATCATCAACCCTCGTGGGTACCATTGCAGATGTAATGATCTGTGATCACAGTAGAGGCTGGCTGAATTTTTGATCTGTTGTATGTCTGAAAACTTTCACCCTTTAATCCAGCCATGTCACCTAAGAAAACTTCCTTGCAAGAAATAAAGTGAAAATATGTTGTTTTTACTTTTAAAAGACCAGAAATTCTGCAAATCATGTGACATTTGGGTTGTAAGTTCTCGTGCAACCAGCTGCTTCATGTAACCTGACCATCACATTCCCCATACATACAAAATAATGAGTTACTGTATAAACTTTGAACTCACAGTGTGCTATTTATATGAAGGATGCGTTATAGTGTATACATTAACATGATATTTATAGTGGCAGAGTAAGGTAAAAGTGTCCTTGCACTTAATTGAGCACCACACCTGTGAGTAGTATGTAGGTGGTAAAGGTGTAGCTCCACACGTTGTTAACCTCTGCACCAGATTGGAGGTGGGTGGTCAGCTACATGCTAGAAAAACAGCCCCTTTTACTCACTGGATATGATGCTGGGTGGGGCCCAGAGCCAGCTGGTTCTTATAGAGAAGAGAAAAATGTCTTGCACCTGATGGAATCCAACTCTGATTCCTCAGTTGTCCAGCCTGTAGCCTGTTTTGTATACTGACTGAGCTCTCCTGGTATGTATTCATTAATGTCAGTAGATGTATTGCAGACTGATGGAAAATGCTTAGTTGAGCGTGGTACTGGTGGTGTAAATAATGAGAAGTACAGGTATCTTTCTATTCGCAACAGTACATGGTCTGTTCAAAAAGTTTCAGAACTTTTGAAATAGCACATCAACTCAACATATTAGTATTGTCAGGTAAATTGTGCTGCCTAGTGACGTGCTTTATAAGTATCATCATTTTTGCCGGGTCATCCTGCTGTAATTAGTCATCGCCCTATAGCTATTTGTTCACATGAGTGTAGAGTGTGTCTTGCGATGTTTGAGATGGCTGTTATTCGTTAACACCATATTAATATTAAATTTTGCTTCAAACTATGGAAAACGTTTACGGAGATTCATAAATGTCAAAAAACGATTATTGTGATCAGTGCATTAGCTGTACATGTTGTTATGAATGGTGTAAGCGATTTAAGGATGGTTAGTAGTCAACACATGATGAGCCGCGTTTGGGATGGCTCTCGTCATCATGTGATGATGCTTATGTTACCCAAGTTTATGAAATTATATGTTCTATTTGTCACTTGAGAGTGCAGGAAATAGCAGAAGAGTGCAACATGTCGATAGGATCATGTCATGACATCCTTACAACAAAATTAGAAATGCCTCAGGTAATCTCAAAGTTTGACCCATGATGTCTGACACAGGATCAGAGAGACAGTTGCACTGCCATCTGTCAGGAGCTTTTAGATCACACTAGCGAGGATGAACACTTTCTGAAAAGAATTATAACCATTGATGAAACATGGGTTTATGGATACAATGTGGAAAAGAATATGCAATCTTAACAGTGGGTTGAAAAAAATTTGCTGAGACCGAAAAAGGCGTGGCAGATCAGGTCAAACCTGAAAGTCATTTTGACGGTTTTCTTTTGACATTGAGGATGTTGCGCATCATGAATTCTTATGTCAAGGGCAAACAGTGAATGCTGATGTTATCTCGAAATGCTGAAACATCTAAGAGAAAATGTCAGGAGATAAGGACCAGGACTGTTTCCAAAAGTGGCAACAGTGTTGGGAGTAGTGCACCAATGTAGGAGGGGAGTACTTTGATGGTGATAGGGCTCACTCAGTTGTAGGCATGTCCGGAAAAAAAAGTTCTGGAACTTATTGAACAGACCTTGTAATTCGTTTTATGTAGACTGTTCATAAGGTGAAAATTCTCAATCAGAAGTTAAATTTCCACATACTTTACATGTAAAAGTCACAGAACTTGCAAATTACTTAAAGTGAAGGTACAAATGAACGTGCTTTATAGTAGCAACAATTTGTGAAGCAAATGTTTGTAAAACAAGGGTTACCTATATATAATTTGTTACAGAAGTCTAAATCTTATAAATGGATGTGTGTATGTTGTGTTTGATTACATCATGTAAGAAAATGTCACTATGCCTGGAAGAATCAAAATTATTGTCTCACGCCCTTTCATTAAAGCTTTTGGCTGTGTAATCGAATTTGTTTTAACTGTCTTGGTTAATATAGGTTTCACTGCCATATTATTCTGTCACTAGCATGACATGAAAAGTACTATGAGGGAGTATATTTTGCAAGCATGTAGCAATAGTAAAATTAAATTGATTTTCTTTTATTGTTTAATGACATTTTCTGAACTACATTGTGCCAAATCAGGGGCTCATTTTGAGTTACAATTTTAAAGGGATGTGGAAGGTAGTGGTTGTGGTGTGTTTTGAGGTTCTCTCTCAATTTTTTTGGAGGAGCTGAAGAAAAGTACTATAGTTGTTGGTCAGAATAGTTTGTCTCCGCACCCAGAGTCAAACCTGTGACCTGCCAAATATGGAGTATGAACCTCTCAAGTGTGACTTTCGCTTCCACATTCTTAGATTATGTTTTCTACTCACAAGATCTGTTGTATAGTATGTCAATATATACGTATGAAATTATTTATTAGAAACAAGGAAAGAATGAACATATCAGTTGTCCTCATTGACATGGAAATGGAAAATGATAAATAATCCTATTTAGCAGTGGGTTTCCATAATTCTGGATACAATTTTAGAACTATGTCGTGACTAATGGTTTCAGCTGTCTACACCTGAGTCCCGAGTACCGAATTCATTGGATGTGAATTCTGAAGGACTGCCTCAGGGATGGACAATGCAAGTAGCACCCAATGGTCGTGTTTTTTTCATTGATCACAACGAAAGGGCTACAACATGGGTAGATCCTCGCACAGGACGTGCCAGCCCCATGCCAAACCAAAACCATCCACCTAATCGACGCCCTGAAGATGAATTAGGGACTCTGCCGGAGGGATGGGAAGAACGGGTTCATACAGATGGAAGAATATTTTTTATCGATCATAGTAAGTAATATTTATTTATTTGTGTGGCTTATGTAATGGGTTTAATGTGCCTAGTGTGGTATTAATATTTGCTGGAACTTCATTACATATTTTTCTAGTGGTTCATCTCTACAGCAGAATTTAAAACAAAGCTTGTGATACTGGTTTTTTATTTTCTTATGTTTGCTCATGAGAATGGCAAGATATAAAGGAAATGTGCATAGTAAAGTTCAGATCTTTTATCTGAAGGCCAGCAATACAAAACAGCTTAACATTACATGCATATTGCCAGAAAATGGGAAGTTGTTGTATACTTGAACCTTGATTTCTTTATGATGGTATGATGCTTTTTGCTTCAGTCTTGTCATTATTACCTGTTAACTCAATCAGTTTGTATCACTGGTATGTTATGAATTTATTGTAATTCCTACAACACTTTCTAATTTTTCTCTCCATGTCCTTGAAGAAAAGAACATTTCTCATAATTATTCAGGGCTGTTCAGTTTTCATTTCTCATAATTTTTCAGGACTGTTCAATTTTTCCCCTTAGCACCCTCACATAAATGTCACAAAGTGACTAATAGTACCAAATGTATAAAGCTTAGCCATAATTTTCAGTACGATAAATCACAATAGTAAGTTATCACAGATGCTTTATGACAAAATATTTTTTAACTTATTCACAGAGATCTCTAAACACACGTACACCACATCTCACCTGGTCATGGCTATATACATTCAGTCAAAGCATAACAGTTTGGTGCAAGAGCACGTAGTGCAGCAGAGATATTTATGACCCCAGGACAGTATTTAGCATCACATTCTGTGGCCCAGTTTGCTATTGCAGAATTTTCTTTTGTTCAGTTTAACCTTTAACGTACGGACTTTTAAATTGCCGGCAGCCCTCTGTGGCCGATATTTAAATCGCCCTAATTAAATAACATTGCAAACTTTCATAAAAAAATCCATATTTTCCATTCTATGCAACCTAGAAATACAAACTAAAAACAACCTGAAAGACAATAAAATTTTCTACATATACACAAAGGAGCAATTTTTACAAACGAAAATTAACTGTGATTATTTTGTCATGAATTGCAAAATATAATCTTTATTATATATGTTACGAAATTCCAAAGGACTTACTCGTTGCTTTTTTCTTCAACCTTGAATCATGGTGATATTGTAAATATAATCACACCATATTCAGTAATATTTTGTTCAGACTGTACACGAGTTTGAACTGCGTCACTACACAGTTTACGATACACTCTGACGCGCGTGGCACTTCTTGAAGCAGTCCACCTCACACAAAGCGACATTGCACTTTTTACAATATAAGAGTGTGCTCCTGCTTTTCTTATTTAGCGAAACACACGACAACGTCTTTGTTTCCCTTTGGTTGGCCAGTGTTATGAATGTTTCACCTCCAGTCGACTCAGTTGGGCCCCAGGTAACCTTGGCCTCTCCCGAGAAACGCCACTGACCGTGATATTCGCCTTGTGATATTCAGCTTTGAGACTTGGTGATATTGTAAATATAATCACACTATATACAATAATATTTTGTTCAGACTGTACATGAGTTTGAACTGCGTCACTTCACAGTTTCAGTTCACAGTCACTTGCACAGAGCAAAATCACACTTTTTACAATAGAATACAATAGTCCTGCTTTTCTTATTTAGTGAACCACACAACGTCTTTGTTTCACTTTGGTTGGCCAGTGTTATGAATGTTTCACCTCCAGTCAACTCAGTTGGGTCCCTGATAACTTTGGCCTTCCCCCGAGAAACGCCACTGACCGTGACATTCGGCTTGTGTGATTGAAAAATCATCTTGGGGGAGGGGAGTTTCTAGCAAAATCAAATAAATTATGTTGATTGACAAAGCAACACTTTCACCTGTTGGTAATACTCGCAAAATAGTGATGCAAAGTAATTATAATACTAGTCGAAAAGAGTGCTAGTCTGACACATACTGAAAGTAGCAGTGGCGAAGATGCCTTTTACTCACAAAGTAATACTGGCTCAGTGGGTTTATACCTCTTCCAAGACACAAAATAAAAGTGATATACAAAGAAATATTAGACAATCCGACACTGACTTCCTGACTGATAATTCGCCACTGGAAACCAATCCTTGAATGTGTCAGACTTCCTTGAAGGCTCTGGAAGCACTCATATGCAAGCACCGATAAATATTTCCTCATCAGTTCTTGAAACAAAGCTGGGCTATATTTGGCTGAACAGGTCATAAACAGTCATATTTAAACGTAAATAGTATCAAAACCAGTACCGTGATAAACGATTTCTTTGTTCAGAGTTAAGGAATGAACCACTGACGTGACCTCACGTAGGTTTGTTTTGGTTTCAAACTCAAGGTCAAACTGTCAGCACTCCTAAAGAGAGCATGTATCCTGCGGCACATATACGTGTCATTTGGCCAACTCCGGTTACTCCTTGCGACATATATATGTGCCATTCAGATGTTAAAGCTTAAGAAATAAATGTGTCTTACCACTCCATGCAAGTTGTGTCTGAAAGTTACCTCTTGTTCATTCACGAAAGAAGAAAACTCGTGATTTGGACCCCTGCTTGGTTACTAACCACCAGTGCTCAAGCTACATAGTTTCTGTCTTAACTTCACCCTTACCCCTCAGAATGAACAAACTGCCTTAGGAAAGTTGGCTTGAAATCTAGACCCAAAAGAGTCCATGTTTTGAAGAGCAATGCATTCTCTGCAATTGGGATATATATATATAATAGTGAGTGGGACACACATTGCTACTTCTGTACCATGTTTGGGTGTTCCTGCAACCATTTTTTTCATTTATAATTTTGGTTGGTTGCTGCTTAAGGTGGCCTAATTGGCCAGTTGCTAATGTTAATATCACACGTTTGTCTTCACTTTTACTATTTCAGATACCAGAACAACTCAGTGGGAGGATCCAAGATTGTCAAACCCACAGATTGCTGGTCCAGTAAGTGTCATCCCATTCACTTGCGCGACTCAGAAAATAGGTCACAACCACCTGTTACTGACAGACAATAGCAGTACTGAAACAAAATATTCTAACATAATTTTTCTTAATAATTTTATTTACTCCCTTACAAAATACTTTTCTTCTCATATTTACGTGTTAACATTGGTAATAAGCCATCGATGCTTTGTTAAATAGCCTTAAAAAAATGTTGTGTGGTTTTCAAGTGAGTGATTCTTCAGATTGTGGTCTGCTGAGTGGTGGCACTGTGGTCTTGTAGGTGGAAATTGTAAGAGGCCTTAGGCCCACACATTGTGGGTGCCACTTGTATGAGAACTTTTTGGATGTGTCACTAGTGAGAGACCTTTTACTTACTACTATTGCCAGGTTGGTGTAGGAAGCCATTTTCCATTGCTCTCCTTCCCTTCATCGCCTACTCATGTTATGATGATGGGTTAGGCACTGAGAAGGAACTTTCCCAGGTGCCAGTAGTCCTAGTAGAAGTGCTTACAGATTTGTTGAGTTTCCTTCTGAGGTGGTAAAAGTGCAGGAGGACTGGCATGTCAATGTGATTTGGTAGGGATGGAAATCTGTCAAAGGGTCTTTCTTATACAGGCTTTGCTTAGGCAGTACAGGAGCATTAATCGCTTGCTGCACTTAGAGCCATCGACCAACATGGCAGAACATTGTTAAATGTTTATTAAGATGGAATATTTAAGTTCCTGAAGAACTGATTACTTTAACACCCTTTGAATATCACTGTTTGTGAAGACCTGAATTGTAAACTTTATTGTAATTAAGAATTAATGAAGGATGATATTCTGGTATGTACTTACTCAATTGAAACTTGTTACAGAATGCCCAGGCCAAACTGAACCTTCCAGAGAAGTGCCTCTCTTGGATCTGTACAGCATCCAAACATGGGGCATCCCCCTTTGGATCGTTATTGGCCATATTTAAAATCTAGGAGGGCCCAGGGTTTTGCATCTTCCAATCAACTACTAATTCTGAGTGAATTTGGGCTCTTTAAATTCCAAATGGCACTTTTGACAACCTTAAAATTTATAATGAGCTTAGGGTCCTGGCATGCCTTCTTAAGTTTTATGACTGTGCTGAGCTCTCTTACCACTTGTCTTCTCTTCTCCTATATAACCCTCCTTTCTTCTATTGAGCGCCAGTAAGCTCCAGTTGGGTTTGTTTACAATATTAAATCTTTTTGGTATGAAGGAGAGGTATGGTTATTGATAACTAACTCAAGTGGTGGTGGTAGGGCTGAGATTCTTCCTCAGGGCATTTGGCAGGGCCTCAGCTTAGGTGGGGGTAGAGAAAAACTCGGTGTTATCATACTCAACATTTTGTTTAGTAATATTTATTGGTATGATGGTAAAAGCTTTTTCGAACACATGTAATTCCATTTGCTATGAATACTTCACTTCACTTAGCATAGTTACATGTAGTTACATGAATTGTTATGTAAAATAGTGTACACAGATAACTTGATCTTTTGTTGATTTAGACTTTGTAAAGACGAACCACAGTGACACAGTTTTTGCATCCGGATAGTTTAAGAGCTGACAGACAACTGACTCCAGAGACTGATCTCTCCGTCCTTAGGTTCCTCTACTATGACGCTCCCCTAAATTCTACCAATTGGGCATATTTGAAATTTGGGGGTTTACTACAATTCATTAATCTCCAATCAGTTAAATGCAGTATGCGACTTTGGCCCCTAAAGCCCTAATGGCGCTTTTGACAGCTCAGTGATGGATACTGCGCTTAGTATGAGTCTCCAGCACACCTCCTTTAAGTTTACGAGGTACAGAAGCTGTTGCATATAGTATTCTCAAAGATTGCCATTGTCACCCTTACAAGCAAAATTTCCAGGAAAGGTATTGGGGATTCTTCCTGTGAAAACAGCAAGATTGGGAATAAGTAATTTCCTATGAGCCGAATGTGGCAAGGTCCCACTGTCTTTGCCTGTTACCTGTTACTGGTAACTGAAATCTGTATTAATAATTCTGATTTTTCTTATATCTAGTGTACGGTGACAGTGTGGTTAAATGTAACCAACTTTCATATCTTGTTCTATAATGAACTGATTTAACTTGTGTTGTCCTGTTCTAATTCTTAATTACTGTAATGAATATCTTATAAATACTCATACTCTAACTGCTGTCTTGCTTGGACATGCTGCCTCCATCTTCAGGGTTAAAGTATTTAGGGTGAGGAATTGGTCCTGTTATATAGGTTGCAAGGAAGGTTGTCACACCCATGGGAGGGGTTGAGGTAATGAGCCCAGCCTAGGCCATTGAGAATGGTAGGTGGGAAAATGGCCCCTTTGAGGGATGCCACATTGTTTTGTTTTTTTTGGTCACAGGAGGAAAGTGGAATTGTAAGAAATGATAGCCTTTTCCGGAGCCACATCAGTGTTTTCTTAGTTATTTAGAATCCGGATGATGGACAAAGTCTGAAAACCCAGTATCTCTATATGAATGATGATGTATTTTGTTGGTAAAGGCAAGAGTAATAAAATGGGGAATTTTTAATCCATTGTAACTGTAGCTGAAGTGTTATTTAAAATGGTGCACATTTTGATTGAGGTTTCTGAGTAGTTTTATACTCTTTCTTAAAATTGAAACTGTAACTTTTCAGGCAGTGCCATACTCCCGTGACTACAAGAGGAAGTATGAATATTTGAAATCTCAGTTAAGGAAACCAGTAAGTATTTATGGTGCAAAGCAATTATGAGTTTGTTCCCTTTACTTTTGCTTTACTCCAAAAGTGAAAGACCTTATATGTTTCATTCAAATGTATGCACACATTTCTTATATGAAAATATTGTGTGAAGTGCTGTTGATTTTACTTTTAAAAGTTTGGAGATTGAATGCTCTGAATGGAAGAAAATGAATTAATTTTATGGAGTAAGTTTGGTTTGTGTTTGACAACTTTATATGAAGGGCTAAATACATCTCTGACATCTTTTGGATGTCTGTCCACTTGATAGCATCATATAGTGTGACAGCTGTGAAATGTTACAGGATGTAAGTCAGAATCGTTTAATGAAGCCATCAGTGGCACAGACTGTGTAGTATCAAATGGTAGGGTCATTTATGAATTAGAAGCCATGGGAAGAACTAGTCACTTACTTTTCTTTGATATGACACGAACTGTATAGAAAACGACATCTCCCAACAATTTTTCATTGCTGCTGGGTTGTCTTTACTTCTGTTATCTGTCAGTGATGGAGCATACACAGACAGAGCCACAGACATGCTTCCAATAATTCTTCTGTTGTTGCTTGTATTTGTTGCTACGAGGAATGTGTTTACCCATCAATGAAAGGAGAGATTACACTTTAATGAACCTGTGCCCAGCAGTGATAGGAGGCAGACACACAGACTGATGGGAGGGATTTGTGAAGTATGCTGTTGATGTGGGATTGGGTACCATGATATACCAAGTTTCATAAAAGATTGGCTCAGGCATTCAAACATTAATAAGGGGGGATTCACAGACACACAGCATGGAGACTGCATAGGCCTACTTTAATTTTTAGCCAACTTTCCTAAATTAGGCTTATGCAGTCTTCTTACTGTCTATGTGTGTTTGTGTATTTCCCCATTAACTTTTCAATGCCAGAACCAACCTTTATGAATCTTGGTATGTGTATCATGGCAACTGAGCCCATCTCAGTGGTGTATTTCATGAAACCCTCCCATCAGTCTTTGTGTCTATATGTGTATCCATCCTATCATTGCAAGGCAGGATCTCAGTTAAGTGTATCCTGCTAGGCAACAGGTGTGTAAACACGTTCCTGTGACAATGAAACAAAAAAAATAGAAGAATTGTTAGTTGTGGTTTTTCTCTGAGGTTCATATCTTATCAAAAGAGTTTCTTTGGGTCTTCCCCCTATTGTTGCAAGTAACAACTCAGTAAAGATGTTCCTGCAGCGACGAAGAATTGTTGGAGGTGACAATTTCTATGCGGTCTGTGTCATATCAAAGGAAAGTAGGCTACTAATGAACTGAAAATAATAAGGAAGAACATGGTTGTGCCTAATTTGACATAATGTCCCAACACTTGCCTGTAAGGACTGAGAAAGACTGAGGTAACATGAGTTTTCATATTTGGTGTCCAAGTTTGGATTTGAACTGAGCATTACCACTTGGAGCACTGTAACTTGAGCCACTTTGGTCTGTGGCGGTATTATGAGAAAATATGCAGTGTGTCCGTTTTTAAAATGTTACCCTTTTGATTCATACGTGTTAAATACTATTATCATTACATGTATGTATTCTGAAGTGTTAAAATCCAATAGTAAGCTGATGTTCTAAGTGTGTGTGAATATCCAGTAGATCAAAAATGTTTTGGAACAAATATTAGACTCATGATAGAATAGTTTATATTCTCTACATTTGGTCTGCACTGATCAGTCTGTATCTAGTGGAAGAAATTTGAAGTTAATGAATTTTGTGGTGTCTGTAATGTAGATGGTACTGATATTCAATCGTTTTGCATCATTGAAACTTTACTAAATATAGGCTAACTTGTTTAACAGACCTCTGATATCGTACTTCCATGTTATATCTCCTACCCCATATGCCATGCATTTCATATATTGCAGTTGTGGAAGACACTGTTAGTTTGAGATTGCCCATGATTTGAGTCAGTTGGCTTTGAAATGTGTCCATGAGTATTCTAGAATGTGAACCATGAAGTTTATATAGCCATAAAGCATGAATGACATGCAGTTTTAATTGGTAAATGACAGGCTGTATGGTATGGAGCATCATTTGGGCAGATTATAGTTATCCACATTGTCAGAAGTTTCTCATTATCTTCGTGAAAGCCCACCATTGGATACCAAACTGAACAAACTATGTTCATTTTGTATAACATGTTTCCCCAGAAACCAGCTTTCATGATGTGACGAATAGCAGCAGATAAAAACAAAATAACAGGAACTGAAGACATGGTGACTTGTCTTCAGTTTTCCCTGAAGTTATAACAGAGTTAATTCAGTTCAGGAGAGTCAGGCGCAAGTGATTCTTCGTTCATCATCTGTCACATTGGAAGAGAAGATACTTGTAGTGCAGTAAGAAATGCAGCGAGTTTTAGACAAGTCATTGATTGTGAGCTGTGATAATTAGTTGTAATTGTAATATAAGTGTTAGTAATTCCAATCATGCAATCCAGAATCTGTTGTTATTAGTCACAGAACCCCCGGACATGTCACAGTACTGTTATCCCATCTGAAGTTGTGTTTTCTTAAAAGGTTTTGCAGCCCATATTTTGCATGCATTTTTATCCCTCATGTATACTGCACATACTACTACTTTTGACCCTTTGATTTTCAACCCCTGCCACAGTAGAAATGCCCTTAGAAATGCCAAGGTGGTATGGAGGTGAATGCAGTTGCACAGTAAAATTTGCAGTACTCCTGAATTGACCTTCAAGCAGGTATATTTCATGTGAAAGCACATTTTTTTTTCTCTTAACACCGTTATGTCACTACACTTGATGCAATTTACTGATAGAAGTGCTGCATTGATTATCAACTAATTGTTCTCTTAGCTGTGGTGATTTTAATGCAAGTACCCTGAGTCAATCTAATCTGGTTGGTGTATGGCATGCAAAAGGTTAATTACCCTATCAACATAAGCACCATAAGGTGGAGAGCCTACTTAATATATGATGTTCCCCATTCCACTGTTATTTCATGTGTTTGGGTCCATATGTTCTCCTTAACACTACTCTGGAACTGCATAATCATTGTTCTTCATAGTGAGGCACCAATGTATGTTGTATTTTAGATCTGGTATGCTAAGAATGTGGAAAAGATTATGTACCATGATATTTCAATTTGCAGAACAATGTACCAAATAAGTTTGAGATCAAGGTAAGAAGACAAAGTATTCTGGAAGATTCATACCGAATCATCAGTAGTGTGAACCGAACGGAGCTCTTGAAAACCAAGTTATGGGTCGAGTTTGAAGGTGAAGTGGGCTTGGACTATGGTGGATTGGCTCGTGAGTGGTTCTTTCTGCTGTCCAAGGAGATGTTCAATCCATACTATGGTTTATTTGAATACTCTGCTATGTAAGTTGTTACTTTGGTCCCCCATTAATAAACATTGTTTTAAGACACTATGAATAGGTAGTACATACTTCAGTTTCTCTGTAAGGTGTTGCTTTCCCGCCTCATTCATTGTTGGTTGAACCTTTGCAACCAAGCCTGGCCCAGGATGTGGTTGCATTGGAAGAGGAAGGAAAGCTCTTGCAGACATGTTTTTCCACACTAATATCTCAGAAAGTATAAAGGTATTTGTACTCTAACTTGAAGCACTTATCATACATACCTCTAATAATGTCGGGGGCACGCAGTAGCATAGTTCATTGAGGCACTAAGCTACAAGCCTGAAGGTCATGGCTTCAGGTCCCGATGAGGCCATTGGATTTTTTTTTAGTTGACCTAATCCTTCCAGCTGCACTATGGCCCTGGGGTCAACTTAGCGTCTAACAGAAGTGAGTACCAGGAGTTAATTAAATAATTTTCCTGGGGAATAAAGCATGGCCAGTGCTTAAGGCTGACGACCTTACCGCCATCTTTGAGCCGATTGTGTAAATAATGTGGGACCTGCAACGTCTCACAACCCTATGGGCCATCATGACCTGTTACAGGGATAGCTTTACTTTTACTTTTTTTTACCTCTAATAATGTCAGTTTGTGTGGGATATTGTGAAGTTTCTTGCTGCAGTCATTGACACAGTCACATTCATGTAGCTCAGTGCCTGCCTGTGTGCACTCTCCAGCCATTTGTGAGCAGTAGTGCAACTGTTTAAATGAAACTTAACATTGAGTCTGGCAGATATGAAATTTTCAGTGCTCATTTCGCAGTGTACGAAAAGGATAGGGAAGAGCCTGCTGTGCTAGCCCCTATAATACACAAAAAACATGAATAAACTCTTGTCTCTTGTTAAGTTTAATGTTCATTAATTTTTAATTTATGGAGGTAATATTTTGTTTGTTGTGTTGCCAGTATGTCACCTTTCTATTGAGTCATCACTTACTGACATGTCAAAATATAAATTGACTGCAAGCTTTTAAATCTGTTGTGCCACAAAAATCAGTTTCTTGTACTCTGAGCCACAGGCAAGAAACTACTTTGCTACTTCTAATTCATTAATGGAGAAAGAGTTACATTTGAAGTTTCTGACTGGTGGTGTGATTATATGAATGTGCCTAAATAATGTCAGTCTCTCAGACTGTTATCACATGCATTGGTTTTATTTGTCAGGGATAACTACACCCTTCAGATTAATCCATTCTCCGGGTTGTGCAATGAAGAACACCTCAATTATTTCAAGTTTATTGGTCGGATTGCTGGGATGGCTGTTTATCATGGTAAACTGCTGGATGGTAAGCAATGCAGTCTGCTCATTTCAAGCCCTTTATTACTTCATTACTCTAATTTGTCACATTATGGTATCACAGTTATAGAGGGTGAATGAAAAATGTTATATCAAACTTTTGTAACACACTGGAACAGTGACAGAGTTCTTACCATATGAACATGTGTCCAGAATGGTCATGTTTCATACTATGGCCTTTTTAATTTTAGAATATTTACCAGTCTACCATAACCTTTGGCATTTTTTTTTATTGTTTACAAATGTACTGTCTTGTCTCATGCAATGATAGTCATGAGTTAGTGTTTTTTGTCCCATAAAAGGGCTCTCTTGAGCTAGTTTGTTTTTTGTATCATATAAAGGCAATTATGAATTTGTGTGTCTTGTGTCATGCAGAGGCAGCTGCCAATCAGTGCGGCAGTCAAATTGCTCTTTGGTGACAGTGCCATAAAAAAGTAAAGTTGTCCTTGTGCATTATGCCATAAAGATATATGAGGGAGTGGAGGTGAGTGGTCAGCTTTACAACCCAGCCACATTGCCCATGGTACCCACTGGGTAGGATGCTGGGTGCACCCCATAATTACTCACTCATGGAACTGAGCCCTTCTTGAAAAGCTGACAATTGTGCAGCTACTCAAGAAATTGCCAGCATTTTATGGCACCTGAAGGTTCATTACTGTGTTCACAAGAACCCTCCACTGGTCCCTATCCTGAGCCAGAGAAATCCAGTCTATACCATCCCATCCTATATCTCTAAAATCCATTTTAATATTGTCTACTAACCTACGGCTTGGTCGTCCCAGTGGCCTCTTTCCATCTGGCTTTCCCACAAATATCCTAAATGCATTCCTTTTCCTCCCCATTTGTGCAACATGCCTTGCCCATCTAATCCTCCTTGACTTGATCATTCTAATTATACTTGGAGAAGAGTACAAGTTATGAAGCTGCTCATTATGCAGTTTTCTCCAACCACCTGTCACTTCATCTCTCTTTGGTCAAAATATTCTCCTCAACACCCTGTTCTCATAAACCCTCAGTCTTTTACTTGCCCTTACAGCAACTGTCCTAAAGATGCCAGCTGTCCCTGTAACAGGTCGTGGAGTCCCACAAGCTTATGGGACATCTAGGCTCCCAAATTTTCTAGACAATCAGCTCACAGGTGGTGAAGTTGTCAGCCTTACACACTAGCTGCCCTTCCTTCCCCTCAAAGGTTGATTCCTGGTACTCATTTCTGTTAGGGGCTGAGTTGATCCCAGGGTCATAATGCAGCTGGAAGGGTTAGGTAAATTGAAAAACCCAGTGACGTCATCCAGAATCTAACCTGAAACCTGCCAGCTTGTAGCATAGTGCCTCAACCAACTATGCTACTGCTGCCACCACTAGGAATTTGAAATCAAGTGGTTCATGCATGATGGGACACAGGTACATTTCCATATTTATACGGTAAAACCTGTCTTAAACAGAATCTGAAGGGTCCAGAACATTTTCCCACTGAAGCCAGGTTTCCGTTTAATCAAGGTATACTATAATAATTAAACCATGTATTTGAGACAAAATGAAACACCATACTCATCAATTTATTCACACTGTAATCATTGAACACATGCAAACATTACAATGAACAGAAGAAAATTGTAGTACTTTTTATAATTTTACCAGAACTCAAGCAGAGTATTTTGCACGCAGTTTACTTTCTTGGCTGCCTGACTTTCCACAAACACTTTAACTTGAGAAATTACACTAAGCATACCTGAATCATTCCAAATTCCATGGCAAATTCTTGCAGTTGCTTTTCAGCTTTTGACAGCATCTTGATATGTCTTTACTCTACACTTTTCTTCTTCTATCACGGTGTAATTTCCTCATCTTCCTTCATTAAAAACTATCTGATGTCTTTTGTGAAAACTCTCCAACCATCCATTAAATGCTCTGAATTCAGTCTTCCTCAGTTCAGAACAACCTTTTTAGCATATTCCTATACCATATGACCGGCACACGGTGATTTTTCATCCTGACACTGACAGACCACTCCCACACTATTTCATTAACATCTTCGTTTGCAGTTTTCTTATGCACCGCGCCCTTCCGCTTCCTCTCCTCTTTTCTACTATTATATTATTATTATTACGAAGAGGAAGGGCACAGCGCAATCGTTACTGGCTCTATTGTCGGTTCGCACGCTCCCCTAGATGGAGATGGGGTATCCAAGCTAGGAGGAGGAAGCTACACTCAGTTCAGTGGCTAAGATAAAACAAATACAATTTTAATAACAAAATATACAGTACATAAATAACAAAAAAAGACACTTTGACCCAAAAAAAACAGACAACCAATTTCGCGTCGGCACCCCTTGTGTAGGTGCTAGAAATATCAGGCCATACAAATGCAAGTCTAAATTCTGAGACAAAATTAAAAAAAAAACCCCAAACCAAAATTTAATACGCGTGTCGCAAGCGTCCAAGCAACGGCTTGCGACCGCAGGCAGTCCTTACCGGCCAGCAGATAACACCAAAGGGAATTTAGAGCAGCCCCAGCCGAAANTTCCACCACAAACCTGCTGGCTAGTAAACAACCTTCCAAGTCGACTTGGTCTAAACGACTGCACTGTACAAGTCTCCCCTTCACAAGAGGGTACATGGGACCACGTGACTGACGTCAGGGTACCGCATGGTGGGGATGGAATCCGTCACAGGAAGGATGATGACCTCATCGTGAGCGGGCTAAAGCTTAGCACGGCTCACTTAAGTTCTCTCTTATTGTTACTGAAATATTTAAGACGGTTTAGAAACTTCAGAAACCCTTTATGAAAACTATGTCCAGTAATTATTCTGATGCCCTGAAGAAGAAAATTTCTGTAGGTCAAAAGAAATGTCAGTTATTTTTTAAAATGTCTACAGATACCTAATACATCTGAAGTAAGTTACCCAGTTTGATTTATTTGCAGCTTTTTTCATCCGTCCCTTTTACAAGATGATGTTGGGCAAGCCAATTGATTTAAAAGATATGGAAAGTGTTGATTCAGAATACTACAATTCTTTACTCTGGATCAAGGAGAATGATCCTTCCGAACTTGAACTTACTTTCTGTTTGGATGAAGAGAGTTTTGGTCACTTTTCACAGCGGGAACTGAAACCAGATGGTGCAAACATTCCTCTTACAAATGAGAATAAGGACGAATATATAAGGTTAGTACACCTGAGCTATTATGGTTCTTTATTTTTAGAACAGCAGTTTTATACCATTTTCTGTTTTGCTCATGTAATGGGTTCCACATATTTTGTAATTTATTACAGAATGTTTTCATGTGACATGAGAATATTTAGAGGAGAACCATTGGCGAGTTAAACATGCATACAGTTTATGTAACACAAAAAATAAGTGGAAATAAGGGGCTTTGATGTTAATGATGGGAAGAAACTCAATGTTATGGCGTGCACTTCCAATTATGGTCTGTTTGAACTTCTGACTTCTGTCCATCTCAGCAGTAGCAAAGAATTCTCATTTTTGAGTGAGGTGCATCTATTAGGTAGACTCCACACTATGCCATGGGAGAATGATGAGAATGCTGGCTGACAGAAGGATCTGGTTCAATACAGACTCAGAATGTTGTGGGTGCCTGGTATTCTCACATTTACAAATACTTACCTTCTCCAGGGATGAGGGAAGGGAATGGCATGAGGAAATTCTTCATTAGGTCTGGCTGGTCTCAGATCTAAACCTTTGGACCACTAGCCTCAGTGCCTTATTCCTAAATCATCAGGTTCTTAAAAAAAATAACTAGAACTGATGACTGAGTTGTGAAGAGTGATCTTCCTCTATCTGCATGTGTACATTCATGTTACAGTACGCTCTTGATTATCCACTTTGTGGATTAACTGTAACTCTCAGAACACCTTAGTTATTGATTAGAACTGTTCATAATGATATAAATATTCCCCATTCCATCTGTTTCAGGAGTATGTATCAGTGTTAAAAGGCCGTGCCATAGCTCAAGCAGTTAGTTGCTGGCTTCCCACCGTGGCGGTCCGGGTTCGATCCCGGGTCTGGTCAAGTGGGATTTGTGGTGTACAAAGTGGCGCTGGGGCATGTTTTCTCTGAGTACTTCGGTTTCCCCTGCCAATCTTCATTCTACCAAATTCTCCATCATCATAATCACCTGGAGCAGGCTACAATAGGCCAATCAGTGGTCACCGTGCTGAGTGGACCCAGTTGGACTCCACCCCCCCCACTAAGCGAATGTATCAGTGTTGGTTGACAGTGATTTGGAGTAGACTACATTTTCTCATATCTAGAATTTTTTGACAGTGGTTTATTAATGCAGTTATTGGCTTTTTGTATGTCCTGTTTTTTATTTAAAACAATGTTTTGGAGACTGAACCTTGGCTCCACCCTCAGGTAAAAGCGTACTCAGTTGATTCCAGTTGATAGAGCTAGTCCACATCTCCAGACACCAGAACCAACACAAAACAGGATATATAAACCAAACACAACATAAACTGTTGGAGGGAGTTATACAAACATTACAAAACTTGCCATACATGAGGCCTTGCACCTATGGCCGTGCATAATGTAATGGCCAAAGCCCAAAAATCAGAGTACTGTCAAAATAGAAGCCAACACTAAAATGTCAAACTCTAAAAGAAAATATGTCATATGTATGTGTGACTATAGAGAGGGTTTGGATTCGATATCGGTTTTATTGACCACTTGTACACGCATGACTTGTAACTGCCAATAATTATAGCGCCATCACTAATGTCCACACTTTACAGTTCACTACATTAGCCACTAAGCCTTTTCCAGCCTGCTATGGCTTCAGCATCTGTTCCCTGGTGAGGGCTTCTAACAGCTTCACACACTCAAATCCTCTCTTCACAGACTCCTGAACAGAACTGATTTGATCACCCCAGTTGTCTTCCTTATAACTCCTTTGCATGGGCTGAGTAGGAGTCTGGATGAGAGGTGTCCAAGGTACATTGGCAGAGCTACCAGAAAAATTTGGGCAGATTCCTTGTATTTTCTGTAGGTTGTGTTTGGCTCAGTCTGCAAGACCTCTTTCCAACATATTTTTTGGCCTTCTTTATATGTCTGTTGGGCTGATTTTGATTTTTTGAACAGATCTTGTGTCAGATTGTATTTGTTCCTTAGTACATTCTTCTTTGTCCACTTGTTTTGCTGACGTAATGTCTTACTGCACACAGATTGCTTAATCTGCTGGGCATCTCTGACAAGTCCAGTTTCCATCAGTGCCCAATGGAGTTCATGTTTAGTTTTGAAAATGGTCATAACACTGAAGTGGTTTCCAGTGCATCATAATTTTTCAGAACTGCTCATAACATATGGGATAATGATGGTGCCATGATATAGTGTATCTGAACAAGGATGGTTGGCTCACCTTATTGCAGCTTTCTCTTGCATTATATTGTCTCATGTTTCAGTAACTAGAGACAGGGTGCGGATTGGTAATTGGTTTATTGGATCTGCACTAGTCATAACTACACTATTGCAGGTTTACACAATTTACAATCACCACACAATAATCCTCTCAGTCTGTCTTCAGTAGTCTTCACGTATTTATAACACAGGAACTATATGAGCCTCACCGAATGACACGCTCCCAGTATCACTGTACTACCACACACGTAAAGTCTTCTATTTCACACACAAATTCTTGACAGGCAGACCTCTTGTTCTCTTCTTCGCTCTTGGTTTAAATTTACCCTGTCAGCTTACGACTGCTCACTTATATAGCCGAGGGATGGACATCGACCAACAATAAACACATATCATGTGACCCCCACAAACTGTTGCTGTGTGACATCACTGCACACATGCAAGCTGATGGACACAGGAAATACATGTCACATGACAGCCACCTACTGTTGATGTGTGATGTCACTGATTCTACGCCATCTGCTGGACACACTGAGAACACAGCTTGCTCTGCTCTTGCGGGTGCATATCATGTTTATAGACCTGTTGCCTGACGTGTTGATCAAATACACCACAGTATTGTTGCTTTTCTCACTGGCCTGCTATCACTGAACAAGAGTTTCTTTCATGTACTGGAAATGCAGTTGTCCTGCTATTTAGTGAGCAGTAGCAGGACCAGCAGATTCTACATTCTGCCGTTTGTTAAAAAAAGTTGTGCCTTTGCATAACTAATTAAGCACTATGCCATGAAGGTGTGTGGGAGTGGATGTATAGATCCTCATTTTCTTGACCTTGGCTGGAGGTGAATGGTCAGCTTCATGCCCCAGCCACTTTATACCTGGGGAAAGAACCCCCTGGTACCCATTGAATATGAGGTTGGGTGGACCCCAGAGCTTGTCTGGATGATGTGGAGAAGAGAAAATTCTTGACCCTACTGGGACTTTAACTGCAACCACCCAGTTGTCCAGTGCATAGCTAGTTGCTGTACTGACTTCTGTCATACTGGCTATGCAGTTTGTTAAGAGTCTTTAATTTCACTCGGTTGGTTAGGTAGTGTACTGTATATGATTTATGTTTAATTAAACATTATTGCTATGGACATTATACTATACTTAATTTAAATTTCATTGTAAATGATTTTACAATTCTTCCTTTCATATATTTCCCTTAAATTTAGTCAGCACGATGTTACTTAATTTTTTTTTATTTTATTTTGTACTAAGTTACAGAAATTGCAAAAAAATGTAAACACTTGAAACCTTCACCACTGAAAAGGATCAGACCCTATGTGAAAATATATGTATCATCATTTTATTTATTTATTTTGTAGCTTGGTTATCCAGTGGCGGTTTGTTTCACGAGTACAAGATCAGATGAATGCATTTCTTGATGGTTTTAATGGCCTGGTACCCCTTAACTGCGTCAAGATATTTGATGAACATGAGCTTGAACTACTGATGTGTGGCATACAGAATATTGATGTTAAAGACTGGAAGCAGAATACACTGTATAAAGGAGACTATCATCCCAATCACATCACTGTGCAGTGGTTTTGGAGGGTAAGCTTATTTTCCATAGACACACACACACACACACACACATATATATATATATATTACCACTATAATATTTTGAATCTGTTTTAGAAGTACTAAGTGTTCATTGTATAAATAAAAGGTAAATAATTGCAACCAGAGATTTGAAAGTGGTTTGCAGCCAAGTAGAGTTAGTTAGCTTGCTTTTTTTCTCTCTTTGTTTCATTAACTCCATGGAGCCAGAGTCCTCCTTGAGAAGCTAATAGTTGCTCAGGTAATCCAGAAATTTCTTGTCTTTTCTGGAACCTGAAGTTTCATTACTGCATTCACAAGAGTTTATTCTAACCAAGATGAATCCAGTCCAGATACTCCAACTATATTTCATTAAGAATCATTGAGGTCTTTCAAATGGTCTGTTCCTTTGATATTCTCCAGCAAACACCTCATATGCATTTTTTCTCTCCACCATATGGGCTATCTGCCATGCCTGATTCATCATGCTTGAGTTCATCTCTTTAATATTTGGGGAAATATGCAAATATCGTATTCCTTATTATACATATTTCACCAGTCTGCTGTTACGTCCTCTTAGGTAAGATATTCTCCTTGGCATCCTATTCTCATATACTCTCAGCCTGTCTTCTTTCTTTAATGTGAAAGATCAAGGTTTACACTTTACAAAACAAAAAGTAAAATTACAATTTCTTATATTTTAATGTCTGTGTTTTTAGATACTATATGGGACGGTAAGCAAAGTAAAGGTAACCCCGTAACAGTCCATAGAGGCCCATAAGGTTGTGAGAGGTTGAGGCTCCCACATTTTCTAGACAGTCGGTTCACAGATGGCGGTAAGGTTGGCAGCCTTACACACCGGCTGCATGCGGTAGCGTAGGTAGTTGAAACACTATGCTACATGCTGGAAATTCATGGGATCGAATCCCAATGAGGTGAATTTTTTTCAGTTTACCTAATCCTTCCAGCTGCCCTATGGCCTTGGGGTCAACTCAGCCTCTAACAGAAATGAGTACCAGGAATATTCCTGGGAGTAAAGGGCCTACAGGGCATCCACTCATGACACTGCAGGCTTGACCCTGGCTAGTCTGGTGTTCAGAAAAGAAGCTCGACAATGCTAATTAAGAGTTTAATCAGTTGTGAGACATTCTTCAGTCAGTAAGGATGTGAACACAGAAACTGAGGAAGCTGTGACATTTGGAAGTTTTTACCAGGTGGAAAATTTATGCAAAGTATGCGGTAGGATAATTATAACTAAAAACTTGACCTGAAGATAGCACACATGTGGCAAAACATGTTGTTCCAGACAGTAGATTCTGCCTGCTGGAAATAGTGTTATGTTGACAGGCATAAAATAAATATTAACTATAAAATACTGAAAGCCACAGGTACTCAAGATGTGTTTGTCCACACACGGTAAGAATTAATTGTTGGATGTATTTTGAACTGTAAATGAAGCTGTTGTTAAAATAATACACCCAAAATATATTTAGATACACTGTTACTTGTAACTCACAGTCCATTTTTTGTTTTTGCTTATTATGTTCAATAAATATTTAAATCTGAAATACTGGCATGTAAGTATTAAAATTATATGTTAACAAATACAGTGTAGTTCTTGAAGGACAAGTATACCGAACACCATTTGCACATTTGTAGGTTGTCCTGTCATTTAATAATGAGATGCGAGCAAGACTCCTGCAGTTTGTAACAGGAACTTCTCGTGTTCCTATGAATGGTTTTAAAGAACTATATGGTAGCAATGGTCCGCAGCTGTTTACCATAGAGAAATGGGGTCTGCCAGAAAATTATCCACGTGCCCATACGTGGTAAGTATTCTGTGGCTTGGTGTTGCATAATTTAAGTATTGAAGTCTGAATTCAAAATTGTTATGAATTTGATTGAAATTTTAGCAGTATGCAAAATAAATTTAAACATTTGACTGGCCGTGTACTTTTAGCCCACTTCCCTTATTTTGAAAGAAATAGATGATATGGCATCACCTTGCTGTCTATGTGTCTGTCCCCCTAATTTGGGGGGTTTCTGTGTGATTTGTGTCATATTGAAGGAAAGTAGATGATTAGTTCTTTCAAGAAATTCTCGTGTATTTGATGAGATCACCTTGCTGTCTATCTGACAGGGTGCTTGTTCTCCCCTCATCAACTTGCCGTCTCTATGTCTGTTTGTCCCTAATTTTTTCATATTCTCTGTGGCCCATGTTATATTACAGGAAAGTATGTGATTAGTTCTTCCCAGAACTTATTGTTCTTCAGTACAGTCTTATAATTTGTATTTAATGTATTGCTATATAAACAGCATTTAGAATAATTCAGTATAATGAAATTTACAATATTTCCATTGGTTCACTTTTCCATATTACGGCCCCTGAGAGACAATTTAAAATCTGAGTATCTTGAAACATGCATGCTACAAACTTGAAAAGTTCAGGAGAAAACTGTTATCTCTCTGTCATAGCAATGAACTATGTGCCTTTACCAGATCTAGATAATTCATTGATGTTTTCCTTTCTCTGAGGACCACTTATAGGCTGCACCCTGATTTTGAAGGAATCTGTTTGGGAAAAAAATGGTGGCTTATGTCTGTGCAGAGATGGTATATAAAACTTTTAATTTTACTATATTTTTTGCTTCAGTAAGCAAGGAAGGAGCACTTTCCAGAAGAATGGCACAGAGACTGTAATCTGTAATTCTCATGTGTGACCACCATCTGTTTTTATGAATAATAAAATGGAATCAGAAATAACCATATATGTTAAACCATCTCACTGCATCAATGTTCTTTACATATTCAGTAATGGATCCTTCCTGTACTGCATAAAAATGTTGCTTAAAACTGAATTTTTCCAGGCAACTGTTGATTATGTTAGGACTTGACATGTTGCTAAACTGATTTCATAAAAATTATTACTAATTTTAGAGAGTGTGGGCATGTGAAAAGGATTTTTTTAAGCGTCTCGGTTATGCCTGAAAAACTTGCTGAAAATAATTTTCTTGAAGTCCATTCATTTCTGTTTTCACATTGCTTTCAGTCTTGTTACTAAGAACCAGATCCTCTCGAACATTAATTTATTTCAAGAGTATGAAATTTGTTCCTTGTAGGTTATTGTACTGCTGTAGGTTTTTCAGAGCTTTAAGGCAGAGAGTATTTGCTTTGAAGGAACAAATTTGAATGGTTATTTGCATTCATGTTAGAAACATAGGCCAGCATTTGTTAGACCTTTGAGCTTGAAATTTGTGCTTTTGGTTTTGGAGACTGGCACAGGTCCCATCCGTAGTCGCTGTTTAACTGAAATGTTGCATAATTCCAGGAAAAGCACAAGTATGTGTCTTTTTTTCTTAATTATTTTGCTTTTAAAAATTTTTATGTCCTTTTGCACAGACTTTCATTACTTGAAGGTGTTTAGTCAGCATTAATCCTATAGTCTATCTGTTCATATTCAGTTGTTCTGGAGTGTTATGAATAGTCACAGTCAAAATCTTTGTTGTCTTCCCTTTCATCTTGAAACTATTTAATGTGTACAGGGTGTTTCACGACTTTAGGGCATAACTGCAGGAGGTGATTTCCTAGGTCTTTGTGATCAAAAAAGTTCATATAAACATGTGTCCGATTTTGGACGGTTACAGAGTTATGACCATTTTAAACTCAGAATGGAAGGTAACAATTACTGACAATAAATGGAACAAAATAATAAACCATCATAATACATGATACATTTAAACTATGAATGTAAACTTAACTTCGTGAAATTACCTTTAATTTGAATTGATTGGTGCTTAAAGCTGATTTTCGAAAATGCCACCTCCGGCTGCAACACAGGCTGCCGCTCGGTTGTGAACTGCATGGGTAGCATGTAGCAGCTTCAGCTGGCTGTTTCTTATGTGGTCAGTGGCGTCCAGAATGCGACCGAGCAAAGCATCTCACGTTGCCACCTTCACATTGTAAACCAATTCTTTCATCCATCCCACACACAATAATCCAGTGGGCTTAAGTCTGGAGACCTGGCTGGCAGTTCTTCACGTACTTGTACGTGGACTGCGGTGTACAATACGAATAATGCCTTCTTCATTGACGCCTTCATTAACACCATGCTCGGCTGCAGTATGAATGCCGGGAAGTCTACCAGTATCTCGCAGTGCCTGGTAAACTCCAGTAAACACTCTCCGGTTCGGTATTCTACGATTTGGAAACCGTTGCTGATATTCAGCTACGGCAAGAACTGAGTTACCGTCACAAAACCCGTACACATAAATCATATCTGCATATTCCTCAAATGTTAATTTAAATGGCATCGTGAACATAACAGACACACTGAGATGAGAACTGTTCTGAACACCTGTAGCCGCCACACTAGCCATGGCCGGACATACCAACCTACCACGCCTTAGGTACCTCTCAAGTATTGAGATAACGAGAACGCTCTGTCTGTAGCTGGCTAAAAATAGCGACCCACCAGATGATAGACGCGGTTCACATGACGGCATGTAAGGGAATGAAAAAACGGTCGTAACTCCGTAACTGTCCAAAATCGGACACATGTTTATATGAACTCTTCCGATCACAAAGACCTAGGAAATCACCCCCCGTTTATATGAACTCTTCCGATCACAAAGACCTAGGAAATCACCCCCCTACAGTTATGCCCTAAACTCGTTTCACCAATATCTCTCCCCCCCCCCNAACTTGCTGGAACATTTTGTCACCTCTGTGGTCTAGTGGTTAGAGTTCCTGCCTACACATCCAAAGGTCCGGGTTCAATTCTTGGCGCTACCAGATTTTCTGAGAAATAGTGGGTCTGGAACAGGGTCCACTCAGCCTCATGAAGATAATTGAGGAGCTATTTCAGGTAAACAGCGGCTCCGGTCTAAAAAACCGAGATCAACGTCCATGGGGACCTGTTTCACTGACCATGTGACACCCGCTATCCACTAAAGTTGGCACTAACTTCGCCGACAAGCAGTGGTTGCTTGGTTGGTATAGTTCACTTGCAGACTACAAGCCACGTAGTTTGTATGTTTGTTTTTTAGTGGTATATTTCTCTAATTTCAGTAAGAGTTCAGTGATAGTACTGTGTTCCAATACTCGAATATTTTGTTCAACAAATCACCCCCATGGAGCAGAGTCCTTGAGAAGCTTATACTCTTTCAGCTAGATAAGAAATTCCTTACTTTTTATGGAGCCCATAGTTTTGTTACTGTGCTCAAAGTAGTGCACAAAAATGCTGATGTGAAGACTCATATATCTGTATGTTAGATAATTTTACAGCCTGGATGAAAGTGTGTGATGTAATTTTGTTATAATCCTCAGGGACCTATGTAGTATTTACAACAAGTATTTCTGTCTTCGAAATTGATCACAGTACATACATTCTTTATTGTCTGTTTAGCAAATTGTGTGAACAGAATAATAATTCCATGTTATTTGTCAGTTGCTGGGAATCTTTGTGTGTGTGTGTGAGAAATCTTTGATGTCATGATTTTGCATTGTGCTACGAAAGCCATCTTTAGGACAATGATAAAATAATTACTGTGTGTTTGAAATGTATTTTTCATCTTACAGGATAAAATAAAATTGTTTGTCATTATTGTGAGAATGCAATGCAGAATATTGACAGTAGATTTTGTTACACTATGAAGAAGTTTATAACACATATTTCTCATGTGATAAATGAAGCATGTTAATGTTTTATTTTTTAATATGTTAATAAAATGTGACATCCTTAAATAATAAATTTTGTTTTGTTCAAGCTTCAATAGGTTGGACTTGCCTCCTTATGAAAGTTACCAGCAACTACGTGATAAGCTCGTCAAAGCTATTGAAGGATCACAAGGATTTGCTGGAGTAGACTAACTGTCGTGTGCAGTCGTGTGACAATCAGACTCTTTCATCAACTGTACTATATTGTACATACTGAGACTTTTTTAAATTTAACTTTAAAAATATGCTTCGACTGTTCATAGGTGTATCAAATTATATATGCAGATTTGTACAAAATTCCTCACTGTTATTTTAAAATCGCCATTATAAAGAACAGTGAATTTGGTTAGTGCTCATTGTTTGTAAATATGTTGAGTTTGATTCTGCATGTGAGTGCTTAATATTGTATATATAATGTGCAATATGAAAATATTTGTGTGTTTTCCTTCATGTGATTATTCAGTGAATAATTACAAATACAGCTTTACTTTAATTGTATGTAGATACCATAGAAGGGGATTGGCAACTGACTGCACTTGCACCAAGACCAGTAATGATTTGTTGTGCATCCCCATTACTTATTCCTTTGGCAACTTCTCCTGGTATACATTACACTAGTTTGATTCTGAGCCGTAGAAACCAAATTGTCCATTTTAGATCAGGTAGCTCCCATTTTTAAAATTAGCTATTGAAGAGATGTCACTTACAAAGATGACAGAGCAGTTTGCTCCCCCTTTATACATTTTGATACAAATAATTTTGATAATGTACTATAATCATGTGCCATTTGGCATGTTGATTTAGATTTGTACGTAATGTGAGAACAGGTTTGTAACTATATGAAAATGTTATACACTTGAGAAACTAAACTAATAAGCAAAACATACTGCTTAACTTTTTCGAAACATTCTTATATTTATGTGTTCATTTGATGAATTAAGACATGGTGATCTCACATTGGAATTATTGTTTGTCATTGCCTTATATCCATTATCTAATATCTTACGGAACTGAACATTTATGAATGTATTTCAACAAACCATTCTTATTACTTCAAGGTCCTATGATCTCCTGAATGCAATATGTGGGAGTCTTTTTTGCATTAGTCATTACAGCTATAGTATCTGTTCTGATTGGGAATACTTCAGAAAAATTCCCCTGATGCTCATTGTTTATGTAACTATTAGTAATGCAGTCAGAAAATTATATTGTAATATTATAAATCAGATTAAGTTGTGTTATTTGTATGGTATTTCTCAAGCTATTCATATTATAATTTTTAAGTTATGTTGAAATTGTAATATGAATAATTGGAAATGGTTTTACACCAGGGAGCTTTCTTATTTTAAGTAAATATTATGTATTTAATTTATAACTGGTTATTTTCTGTATCCTGTAATTTTAATTTTGTATGCCTTGTGAGGGTTGTTTTATTGATATCGCCAAAGTCATTCCATTATCTTAGAACAAGAACAGAAATACACTGTATCCATTGAGGTAGGGTTTATTATTTTTCCCTGTGCAGTTTGGTGGTATGTTAATGGCTCAGATGAATTATGTTTGTCATTGCAGAATTATACTGATTTTGTCATGAAACTCTGAAGTAATTATTTTCTATCAGTACTTTTCGTAAATAATAATGTATCTGACTTTTACTTGACAAAAAAAGAAGTCCTTTTATGCAACCATAACGCCAGTATTATAAGACCAACAAATCTAAAGTCTGCTTTTGTTTTCGAAGTTGGGGAATCTGGCCCCTCCCTTCATTGATAAGGAAGTGCCAGTGTTGTTAGGGTAAGTTGAGTTCTCAGATCGTACTTGACATTGGATGCTTTTACTGTGCACTGCAAAATAATTATACCCACTGCCTTCTGATTGCAAATCATATAGTGATTGGTAGAGCACGAACGTCTAGCTGATGAAATGTATTTGTATGTATTGTGTTCATATTAATACCATCTTTGGTAGCAGTCATTTCATCACGTTAGTTCAACAACAGAATAAACTATGGGATGAAGGAAGTGGAAGTAACTAAGTGGAGGGTGGCTTGGCAGGTGTGGAAGTGGAAGTAACTAAGTGGAGGGTGGCTTGGCAGGTGTGCAAGTGGAATCTCCACTCTGTAAGTAATGTATTTTCAGAGGGTTTAGATTTATTGGTTGTTATAAAATGGCATTTAGAGGATGTATACTCTGCAAAATGAAGTATGAGATATTTCAGTTTCATTTTAATTAATATTCAATCTTTTTTTCAAATTAAAGTGATTTACAGAGTTAATACAAATGTATATCAGCATGATGCTCTATGGCCATAATAGTATGTGGCGTGCATTATGTGAAGACTAAGTTACCAAAAAACATGAACACGCACACAAAAGTGGATACAGCAAAGGAAAAAGAAAATAAATGGATAGATCCAAGGAAACCATGCACATCTATTTTCTCACAGTAACACTGATTGGACAGTTCATATCTGTTTAAAATATATGCACTTTTAAACCAGTCTTGTCACTTTGATTTGTAGGAATGTAAAGTTCATTGCTTCCCATCATAGCTATTGGAAAATATACATTTTATCTTCAACTTTGCACATTTTCTGTTTCTTTAATCCTTAATATTCTCTCTACAGTCCTGTTTATATTTGTCACTAGAGGAATGTATGTTGCATATCATTGGCAGATGTTTTAAATGTCAAAGAATTCTAATGGCTATTGTGCAGATCTGTTTTAATTAACCATACTTTCGTGGCTGTGCCATAGCTCAGGTGGTTAGTTGCTGGCTTCCCACCGCAGCAGCCTGGGTCAGGCCATGGGATTTGTGGTGGAGAAGGTGGCACTGGGGCAGGTGTTCTCCAAGTACTCTGGTTTCCCCTGCCAATTCGCATTCCACTGATTGCTCCACAATCATCATTGTCATCATATGGGGCTTGTACAGTAGGCCAAACAGTGACCGCAGTACGAAGTGGACTCAGTCCCGTCCCATCCCATGAGAAAAAAAAAATGAAAACTGCCCTACTTTCTAAGAAGATGCATTTTTCTCAATTTTTAGAAGTTTCTGTGCACTGCAAAAGATGTAACCTGAAGGTGCCATTTTGGTTATTTGGTTTTTAAATAATGAGAAGTATTCACTGGTGAAAACATCCTGTCTTATACTGCACATTCACGTGTGTCATGTATCAACACTTATTTGTCAGGGTTAAACTGATGATGACCACACTGTGACCAATTGTGCAGGTGCTTGAAAATGCCTAAGTGGTGTAAAGAGGATATTCTGATGTTAATGCTTTTCAGGAGCTCAGCTACAGAAAAGAGGCTCTCACTGTCAAACCTACTGATTACTATGGCATATTTTAAGGAACATTTAAATGTGCCTAAAATTTGTGTCTTCCAGCTATCTTAAGAGTTGCTTTGTTTTTAATTCAGAAGAAAGTGACATGTTTTAACATCTCAGAAACAGCTAATATTGTTTAACTCTTTAGTGGTATTTACTTATAACCCTGTATATAAATCAAGCAGAAAGCTACAAAAAGAAAAGGTATGTACATTTGAATTTTAATCTATTTAAATCTAAATATATAGGATTTGGCATTCACTTCTACTAGCGGAGTGTATGCATGCCTCCTCTCATCATCATCATCAGTAATCTGTCAAGACGACAGGTCCACNGTGCATGCTTCCTCTAGTGGAGTTTAAATGCCCACCTGCACAAATTGGTGTACTTCAGCCACTTCAACCATACTCATCACTGTACCACTCAGTGCACTTCAGGCATTAAAGGTTAATCTGATTTCACATTCAAGTCAGTTTCCTTGGTGGGGTGTATTTTTTGTACTTCCCATTAGCACTGTGTAATCTTCAGTGCCACCATTAAGTCCCTGGCATTTAAATGCTCATTCATACCATTATTCAGGTTGCCTGAAAACTGCCTGATTTGACTAGTGTCAGCTGTTTTTTTGGTTTGTTTCAAATGTACCAGAAATGCTTTCAAGTAAAGTAGTGTAATATTTTGTCATGGTTTGGTGGAGTTATTTGCAGTTTGTCTGTAACCACTTAAGGTCCTGATGTTGGCTGGACTAGTCCTCCGCTATTACATTGCATACTACTGCATTTTCACCTCCTGGTATTCATAAACTTGCATCTCCTCTTGCCATGCAGGAATACGGTACACTGCTACTTAACTCACAGTGAGCCTCCACATTACTGTACTGCTGCTTGTTGCTTCGTAGTCAAGGTTTTATACAAATTATATTTCAAGAAAAGTCCAGTGCAAAAGAGAGATGAAGTACATTGAATATCAAGAAGATATGAGAAGAGGGGGAAGTCTGGAGATCATGTGCATGCTGAACAATGACTCCCCTACACACACACACACACACCACACAGTGTTTTTTTTTTTTCACATGACAGTAGGAAGTGTTTTCAGCCTTTTACTTCACTTAGACTGAAATGAATAACAACTTGAGAAGTGTGAACTGCTGCTTGATTCTTCACCTCATATGTGGCAGTACTGAAGGTACTGAAGGCTGATGGTAGTTTTTTTACCTACAAGCAGTGTGGGCTACCTCTACTACAATTTCCCCACTCTCTGCCAGCATGTACCTACAGGACTTTGTCAGATAATAACTTAAACTGCTGGAAACAACTGTTCCTCTTTGTGGATATTATTTAGAAGAAGGTTGAAAAGTTACTACTTACAAACATTTAAAAATGAGTAATAAGTGGAGTGATGATGATTAACAATTTTTGAACTTCTAAGAAATATACAAAATGTTATGGAATGCTGAATAGAAATCCACAAGATAGAGGGATGAACAAATTGAAGAACTCAGAAAAAAAGGCTAAACATAGATTTGACTTGAAAAAAGGTGAGCAAAATAGTCTACAGTCAAAATCTAAGCAAAATAATGAAGTGTAATTGCTGCAAGACCATAAATGACTGACAACCCCTGTGGCATAAAATATGATGCTGTTTTTTTAGACAAATACTGCAGAGTTATTGCCACTGGCAAGTTACGGCTCAATTCAGGTTCTGTTCAGGCTGTTAATGCTTCCCTAAGCCAGGTCAAGTGTTCTGTATTTTTGACCCTACTGTAGCTAATAATTTGTTAAAGTTTTTGACTGACAATTTTAGGTGAAATGTATGGGCGTGTTTTATCTCCTGAGACCCACTCTGTAATAAAGTGTTTTGCTTGCATTGAATCAATTCTCTCTCCTAGTCTACTTCTTTTCCCAGACATGTCTTTTTTCATCCAGTGTTTTCAGTACAGCTAATACTTAATTTTATTAGGGCACTGTTATATGGATGCGGCATGCAATGACACCTTTTTTTTACTGGCATCCAGTTAACCTGCTAAAATATGAATAGGAACTGGAACTCAAAGGAGTACCGAATTTCATGCAACTTGGCCCAGTATTCAGTCTATGTTACTTTTGTGAATGAATCGTGAGGCAGTCAAAAAATTTCATCATTATTTTTATATATAGGTCTCCTATAGGTAATTTTTTAAATCAGCTGGAATTACTATTAAATAAAGTGTATAATTCATCAAATGAGATAATTTTATGTGTTGACTTCAATGTAAATTATTTAAATGATAATACTAAGAAAGATTGTTTACCCTCACTTTTAGCTTCCTTTAATCTTTACAGTATAATTAATTTCCCTACAAGAATTTGTTACAATTCTTGTACTTTAATAGATAATATCTATATTAATAGCTACTTACATGGATTCTCTGTGCATCCTCTTATTAATGGTCTGTTGGACCATAATGCTCAGGTCATTGTTTTGAATAATACTACTGTTCTAGACCATAAACAGATTTTATTACAAGAGAGTTATTAATAATTATATGTCAATTTTTATTTTTGTTAAGTTATGAAAATTGGGAAGAGATTTTTTTTCTGAAATGAATATGAATATAGCCTTCAATAAATTTTTGAACATATTTCTTAGGATCTCTTATTCATACTTTCTCTTGAAAAAAAATTCAATATCCAGATGTACAAAAATCATGGCTAACTTCTGGTATTAAAATTTCATGTGCAATTAAAAGAACACTGTATCTAGTTTCCAGAAATAGCAATGATCCTAATGTCAAAAAATATTTTAAGAAATACTGACCAGGGTTATTACGGCAGCCAAAAAATTACATTACAACACACTTATAGTAAAATCTAACAAGACTAAAACTACGTGGAATATTGTAAAAACTATTACTAATAACAGAGGACCTACTGATAACATAACCATGATGAAAATAAATGATAAATTATCTTGCAACCCGATAGGCATTTAATAATTACTTCTCATCCATAGCTGAAAAATTACTTAATAGTAATTCTTCTGGGTATCCCTCTGTTGATAACAAAGAATTTTTATTTTATTTACATCAGAATTTGTATCACTCAATTCCAAAGATGAATTTTAGCAATATGAATACTTATGAAATTCAAAAAATAATATTGTCAATGAAACCCCAAAATTCTCATGGCTATGATGAAATATAATTAAGAATTATGAAATCTAGTGTTCCGTATATCTTGTCACCTTTAACATATTTATGTAACAAGATCCTATTAATAGGTATTTTCACGGAGAGATTGAAGTTTTCTGAATTTAAACTGCTCTACAAGATAGGTAATAAAGCTGAAATCTCTAATTACAGACCTATCTCACTTCTTCCAGCACTTTCTAAAATCACTGAAAAAATTACTTATAAAAGACTGTACTCCCATTTAAATATGAACAATATCTTGGTTAAGGAATAATTTGGATTTAGAAAAGAATCATCCACTGAAATGTCAACATATAATCTTCTAAATAATATACTGACTTCCCTAGACAAAAGGAATTGTGTGGGTGATTTATTTTGTGACTTACAAAAGGCTTTCGACTGTGTCAACCACACTGTATTCCTCGAAAAAATGAACTTTTATGGAATCTCAGGTACAGCAATCAAATTAATGGCATTATAACTTGAAAATATATATCAAAGAACAATTATGAAATATATTAAACTTAATATAAAGTATTTTCAAAGTGGGAGGTCAAACATGAAGTTCCACAGGGTTCTATATTGGGACCACTATTATTTCTTATTTACATAAATGATTTCCCATTTTCCTTTAAGAAATTAGCTCAACCTATATTATTTGTGGATGACACACGTATTATTATATCTGATTCGAGTCCTGAAGAATTTAGAAGTAATATTATTTCAGTTTTTAATGAAACAATGACACGGTTTAATAGGAACGTTTTAACTCTAAATTGTGATAAAACACATTTCTTACAATTCTTTTAAAAAAAGCAGAGAGAAATAGAAATTCAAATTACATCAAACAATTCATTAATTACTAACATCAATTGCTCTAAATTTTTGGGAACAAATATTGATAGCACCCTGTCTTGGCAGAATCATAATACTGTGTTATCATAAAGATTAAATAAAGCCCTTTATGTCATTAGATTCAATGAAGATGATTTACTACTCTTATGTACATTCGATACTGAAGTATGGCACTATCTTTTGGGGTAATTATCCCCTTAGTATGAGTATCATTAAAATTAAAAAAAGAATC